AAACCAACTCGTTACAGTTAATTTAAGTTTTGTTAGACGTCAACTGTTGTAGCTTCTTCTACCTTTGAATGTCTAAGAGATTTGTGTTTGATTATTAAGAACAATCAAATTACGCATGAAGCAATGCAATGATTTTAAACTTTATATATAATCGTGCCGCGAAGAATTATCCGGTTAAATAACTTAAATATTTTAAAAGTTATTAAACCTTTTTTAAAGTAAATTGCCATTTTGGTGACATTTTTTATTCTATATGAAAATTATCAAAATCACTATCTTATTTTCAGCTTTTGCAAATTTTTATGAGCCTAGGTAGTGCTGCATCTGGATAAGTTTTTAAATATTAAAAAATTAGACCACAAACCCTTTTCATTTCCTCAAAACTGTGACAAAATTTATGTTTTGCTCCATTTTTATAATAAGCATCTGCAGCATTGGCTTTAGATAGGCTAAACCTAACTAGCCATGAGTAACAGTTGCAAACTCGCAGCAGTTATGAAATACAAACCTAAGCCTAACTTTTTTATTTTTAATTTCCTGAATTGTCTTTTTACAAAAATGCTCTTTCTTTTCATGTCGTTTGTATAAAAATTCTCGATACATTATTCTGTGGCTTAGTTTCTCTTTTTATCCCTAGCACCTTTTTATTTTTCTTTATGGATATGGTCTACTTTATAAACGACTTAGCTTCTCTGTAAAAAAACTGTGTCATATCTATCCGAATATGATGTTGAATTACCCTGAAAGTTGTAAGAAAAGGAACACTTGTTTTCAAGTTAACACCCAATCGAACATTAATATGCAATTTAAAGGGTGTATGAAATCTCGAAACTCAAGAGATGCAAAAAGCTTACTCGATTTCACTCCCATTTACACCATAAATTAATTATTTTTGCTTTCGGAAATTCCAATCTTGGTGCGTTTTGATTTCGTCTGTTACAATCGATAACGAGTTGGCCAGCGTTTGCGGCTATCTTCAATGTAGCTTTTCATCTGCAGAAACTTGAGTTCGTCGTCACAAATACATATGTATGTTTCCAGTTGTGTAATAAGAATATTTATATTTTAATTTTTAGATCTCTGTAAACTGTATTAAATAATTTTATGTATAATTTCTATCTACTCCTGCTCTGTTAAGCCTAGTCCCGTGACTAAAACAGCCTTAAAATACAATCTTGAAGACAAACTGAAATATGACAGAACTAAGGAATGTAAAAACATTTTTAAACTTATTTCCCTTTCTATTTTTTAGGTTGATTTATGCACAGAAAAAGGAATAAACGTTTCAGATATATTCCAGGTATGCAAAGTTATTTTTTACTTAAATAAATCTTTCTCTCTTTTAATCAAAATGTATAAAATGGAAAAAATTTACTGCCGTAATCTTCGGACGGATTTAAAATTATAACTAAACTTCAATACATGAATAATTAACTTTGAAAATATCGCGAACATCCTTAAATAAAATAGTTAACTGAAACCAAAACACTTCCGCGTAGTAGGCAAAGCCACACGAACAACAGCTAGACAGTGGAGAAAAAAAATTCTGTCGATTTATTGCTTAAAACTAATTAAAATGTTGGATTGGAGGAAGAGGTTAAAGAATATTTAAATACTCTGCTGTGCATTCCACTTGTTTACCATTAATATTCATATGTTGTACAGGATAATTTTGAAAAGTGACTAAGCTGGTCACCAAATGACGCTAGTGCAATATAGTGCGGCTTTCAGGAGAACTTCTCTAGACTCCCGTCTCGCGTCGTGGCGGGTACTATGGTTACGTAGAAAGGTCACTTTTAACAGGGGTGTGGGGTGAATAGTTTTGTCTTAATCTTAGCGTAGGTCATCCTGGGTAAACCAATCTACACCTTCTTTCCTCCATTTCACCCCCATTAGAAATGTGCTCTCGCTTGTTACCATAGCAGCAGACAGCCCCAGACTTACAGTCTGGAGGAGTTCTCCTCAAAGCTGCACTATAGATAAATTTGTTTTTTATTTTATTTTATGGATTAAAATAAAAAATATAATATGGGTATAGGTTAGGGTTGTTGCTTGCTTACCCTTTTGACGATGACATTATTTATTTTTTTAAATACTTAGAGACTATTTTTGTTATTATTCGTTTTGCTATTATTTTTATATGATGACTAAGTCATCGTCTGCAGCCCAGGGCTGGCTTGATCCGAATAGGTTGTCTTCAATTTACAAAAAAGTCTTAAATAAAGTAAAAGCAATATTAAAGCAATAGTGCTAGAAATATATTAAGCTAGTTGTCAAACAATTGTTATACAATTATCTGAAATGTAATAAGGGTTTTTTCTTTAACAGAAACTTAATGTGCCTTATTCTTTTTCAGGACAATGATAACATCATTTCAGGTGATATTTACAGAGGGGTAAGTAATTTATTTACTAAAGATGCATAGCTTTGCAAACAATAAGGATTTTCTGTTTGATTTACCTCAATTCTCCGGGTAGAACCGGGTATTACCTGATTTTGTTCCCCCCCACCCCATTGATATGAGTCTATATTGAGACCACAAATGCTACAATGCAGTGAAGGAAGAAAATAACTAGATAAAAGGCGGAAAAAAGGTTTCCTCAAAGCACAAAAAGTCTTACTTTCATATTTTGTAGAATTTTTGAAGACTTTTTATGCAAAATTGTAGTTTTTATTAAAAAAAAATCTCTGTAAATTAATAAACCCTATTTTTTGTGCGAAATTTTTATTGGGCTTTAGCAGACCGGGGACCGCGACAATCGTCCCCCTCCCACTTGAATAAGGCTTTGACAACTTCGGTGAATTACATGCATAATTTTCTTAAATTGTCAAAAAAAAAAAAAAAAAATGGAAATGTGTGCACGTTCTTAGTTCTAGTTCTAGTATTTCTAAATTTCCTATAGAGTTAAGACCGGGTGATTTGACTTTTTCTAGAAAAAAAAATCATTTATTTATAAAGTAGTTAATTTATGACATTTCAGGAATGACATATTGTACACAATTTAGCAATGAATATTTTGATTAAATTTGATAGTTTCCAGGTCGAACATCTTAGCTCCAACAGGTCTACCCAGTCTTTACACCACTCTATAAAATAAAAAAGGCAGGTCTGTTATTTTGTACGGAAATTCGAATAAATACTTAAAATTAAATGACATTAAATAATTAACTAGGTAATATTACTTAATAATTTGAATCTTTACTTTTCAGGGTGTATTTCTAGGGTGCGAATTTGGAAGTTTGTACATGTATATCTGGGCTATAGGTCTCATTGCTTCCGGGCAAAGCTCAACAATGACCGGAACCTACACAGGACAATTTGTTATGGAAGTAATGTAATTATATTTAATCCTTGATGCATGGAATTTTAAAATACAGTTTTATACTAAATGTTTTATCGTAGGAAAACAAATCAAGTGAAAAAAACTTTTGATTAAAAAATTCGGATTTCGATGTAAGGAGTTTCATTTCTTGAGGTTTGAAAGATTCGCCTAATGTACTAACTAAATGTACAATTGAAATGCGTGACAACATGTAAGAGCGGTGATTACGGAGCAACAAGTTCTAAATAATCACCGCTATTAATTTAAGTATTAAAGTAAGGAAAAAACATTGTTTTCAAATAAAAACAGGGTGCGTAGCCAAATTTTTCAACAAAAAATAAGCACTTTTCAAGCACTCAAAAAGTATTTTTAAGCACTTTGAAAAATATCATAATTAGACAGAGTTGGCAAGTTTTGGACAATTGATAATTTTATCCAGTTTTATTTACAGTGACGAAGACGATGGCGCGTCACAGACGATGAAATTAACAAGCGAAATGAAATTTTCTATCACTAATAGAAAATTTCATTTGAAGAATCATTCAGAAATTGAGAATCTCTCGCAAAATGCAGCAGGGTTGCACATGAGAGTCAAAAACCCTTACCACTGAATCCAGCTCAGTATACGCAAGTACAGACCCGCAAGTATTTCATCAAACATGTAAAACAAATGGTGCTTTCATACACTACAGACCGGCGGTACACCGAAATAGATTGAGGTTGAATTAATTGTGAAAACGTTGAATAGGACAATGTCTTTTTGCATAATTTGTGGCGAAAATCAACAGGGTAAAGAAAAATATCACATTACGGAAAAGGGAAAATTAAGCACTTTTTAAAAACATCCATGGAAAAAAGCACCTTTAAGGACTTTTAAAAAACGAAAATGAGCACCTTTAAGCACTTTTTAAAAACGCTTCGCACCCTGAAAAACATAAGCGTTATCAAGCTCAAATTAATCATAACGGAATCAAGATTAAAAGTATACCAGTTTGATAGGTCAAGAAAGTTGAAACTCCTTTCTAGTAACTGCGTTTCAGTTCCATTGGACAATCAAACTGGTTTTGAAAATTTTAAATCTGACTCCACAGTGATTGACCTCAGTGTTTATTGCAAGATTGTGTTTCTCATGTAATACTTTTATTATTTTGACTTTGTTTTTGACAAGTCTTATATATACGTGCATATAAAAAAAAAATGAAAAAAGTACATAAATAAACAGTGTATAAAATAAATTATTGGAAAAAAAAAATACAGTAACATAAACTGTTGATCGTATTTCTTTTTTATGTTTTTTATCCTGCGAAAGTTGTAATCACATTGTTTTTTACACTCACTATAGTTTTTTTTTTCAATTGTTATTTTTTTTATATCCAGATAGTTAGAATTGAAACACCTTTTGATAATTTTTGAAATTAAATTTCTATACATTTGTTTTCAGGGTTTCCTAAACATGAAATGGAAAAGGTGGAAAAGAGTGCTGGTAACAAGAACTTTAGCCATTTTACCAACAATCATGGTTGCATTGTTACAAGATGTTAACAGTATGAGTGGAATGAATGACTACATAAATGCCCTTATGGCCGTGCAATTACCCTTTGCCCTCTTAACAACCTTCATGTTCACTGCCTCCAAAGCCTTGATGAAAGAATTTGCCAATGATCTGTAAAAAAATTTTTTTTAACTTTATTTATATTCTATGAAATTTTAATAAGCCAGTGTTTTGCCTCAATAGATCAAGTATCTATTTTTGATCTATCAGTTTCAAAACTTATGAATCAATGGGGGAAAATTTTTCAGTATTTTGGTAAACAATTATAAAGGGTATTTCGTTATGTCCATCATTTTTAATTCTTGTCAAAAAAGTATACTCGTTAGGGATTTTAAATTAATAGTTAAGCTAGGAAGAAACAAAAATGTTACAAAAAACTACTGAATCAGAGTTGAGAAAGAAGACATGAAGCAATTCAAAACCCAGTTTGATTTTCATACGAGTATGAAACTTGGAAGTGTTTCCAACAATCATTTTCTACTATGGTAAAACAGGCTTTGATTTTTTTAATCTCAATCCTTAGTAGCGATTTGTTGATTTTCAAAAACGTTTTTGTTTTTTTCCTGGCTTAAATATTAATTTACAAAAGATAAATATTGTTATAGATAGTAATGTTGAAATTTTGGATTATATTAATAATAATGATATTTCTAATATTAATACTTTTGATTTTGAAAATTTGTATACAAGTATACCACATTAAAAGACTATTGAAATTTGCAGCGAAATTTTTGATAAGTATTTATTTAATGAGAAAATTGATAAGTCTTATTGGTTGGATTTATGTAGATTTAATCTTTTTGAGAATATTCTTTTTAATGGTTTAGATTTTTATAAACAAATTATTGGAATTCCACAAGGTAATTCCTTTTCTGGTGCTTTTGTTAATATTTTTTGCATTTTGTTTAAAGCTAAATTTCTCGAGTATAATGAATTTAATGCTTTTAGATATATTGATGATTTGATTTTGTTTAATTGTGATAATTTTAATTTTATTTATCCTAAAGATTTGGTTTTGAAGAAAACTAATGAGAATTGCTTAAATGTTGAATATTTAGATTTTAAAATTGATATTATTGATAAAATAATTAAAATCGGTGTTTTTGATAAAAGAAAAGCTTCTAAATTTAAAGTTATTTTTTTCTGCAACTTTAATACTAATCTGTGTAATAAAATTTTTAAAAATTTAGTTTTTTCACAATTGGTTAGGATTAAAAATATTTGCAATAACGTTGAAAGTTTTCAGGAGGCTGTGAATAATTTAAGTATTAATGATTTTCCTTTTAACTTTTGTAATGTAAATTTTTTGATTAAGAAAATGATTGAAGAATGCTAGATTTTTATTTCTTTTAACAGGGCGCAATTCAAGTCTTAACTGAGCAGCCCCAGTTAAGCATTATATTAATTTGTTACGTAATCTTTTGTTTTACTTCTCTTTTTTTTTATTCTGCGAATTTTAATAAAGGGCGTTGTTTTCTTTTGTTTTAAGTGTTTCCTTTGCATTTAATTTTCTTGTGCAATCGCTGTTTGACCAGTGTAATGTAAGTTTTTGTTTTCTCAAGATTTTGTTCGAATTTCTTTTCTGAATTGGTTTTATGTATTTTTTCCTGGACTTATACAAAACCTTCGGGGTACTGAGAGAGTTAATTTTGGCATTTAATTTGGGCCTCTCTCTCAAGAGAAAAGGTTTTGTTTTATGGCTTCCGAGGCCCCCTGAAGACATCGGCTTTTGGTGGTCATATATTTATTCTTTCTCTTAAAAATTCGGCTGCTTTTAAGCGCGTTTCTTTCAAAGATTCAATTTAGAATTAAATATTTTGTATTCTTTTACTATTTACAAAAGCTAATGTATATACTTATTGTGTGTGTGACACAAAGAATTTAAATATTTACATAAAACTCACCCTGTATAGTTATATGGTTGATTTGAAAATTTCGCAATTGTGATAAGTACGAAATGACAAAACAATGCATCATCAGTTGTCTTGCAATGCCCTGTCATTTCTGCTTTAGCACTCAACTGGGTTAATCACATTTCATTCATAATAAATACACAACATCTTCTTCTAAAATTACAATAATAAACTGCTTTCATTAAGTATAATTTATTAAAGATAGTCAAAATCAGTTATATTTACAGTGAATAAATAAATTATTAAAATTTGTTCTTTTTCAGTCCTTTATGTTTTCTTTTGTTGTAAATAGGAAGAATAACATTTTCATGGGCACAATGACAATCTTCCTTATTGGTTTGAATATATATTTTGCCATAAATTTCGTATCAGCATATCTCCCTCACACATGGCCTGTTCATCTTTGTCTGTCAGTGATCTTCATTTTTTACGTATTGGGTCTTGGATATCTGGTAAGAATAAATTCATTTATAGTACTTAATATACAATATGGAACATTTTTAAATAATGAGATAATTGCAAAACATCACTTTCATTTCACAATTTTTGAAAACATTTAAGTATCTCAATTAATTTAACATTTTAAGACTTATTATAATGATACCATACGTCTCAAGGCTGGCTAGTAACTTGTAATTTTTTTGCACAACAATTTAGTTCCATACAGGTGTATTGCAAAGAGCTCATAAAAGTGAAAGTTTATTAATATATTCATATTTAAACTGTTGTTGCTACAATGTAAATGATTAAGCTCTGTTTAAAAGATGTTAGGGAATAACTATTTACATTTTATTTTCAAATAAAAGTCAAAGAACTTTTAACATGGTTTGTTGTTTGCAGAGAGTAAACATGTTTGGCTACATTTTTCTAAGAATTTTCTTTTCGTACCAGTCGTCAAGAATTGTAAAAGTGTTTTGGTTACTGGATTTTGAGTGCTAACATATTTTACAATTATATCCCAAGTATATTACAATCTAGATAGAAATAGTTGAAAGAGCATTTTAGGGAATTCCAGAATTCAAAGACCTCCATAACTTGGTGACCAACAGCATGATTCTGGCAATGTAGTCAGCATTGCACACATGCTGCCTTCCCAGACAAGCTGGTTCCCATTGATCTGAAACTGGGTGGGCTTCAAGCTGCCACTGGGGATTGAACCTCAATTCCTCTTAACGACTGTTCAGTGCCTTAACCATTGAGCCATCAAAGCTCTAATTACGCTCATGGTTTATGTAAATTACTAATCCACAAGTAAAAGTCCTGTCAAGGCATTACCTACTTTACTTTCCTTTAGCAAGGCTATCCCTATCTGCAAATTTGCATAATTCTATACCATCATTACTTTTGCCACTTCAATGCATGTTTCGTTCAGTGTTTTGAGAATATGTAAAAGTAAAAATTCACTTTTTAACTGCAACTTTGTATGGCTTCATTAAATATTTTTTTCCCATTGAATTATATAGCAACAGCAAAAGGTGTCTAAATTTGTTTTTAAGCACAGGTACGAGTTCATTAAAATAAGCCAAAAATTTTAAGTTAACAGAAATTAGATTGATGCATTGTGTAACGGCAACATTTCTAAAGAACTGGATTCCTCAATTAGCTTTAAACATACATACTGTAAGACAGATATAGTCATTTTCTGCATCTTTTAAGAAGAATGCATGCCTCTTACTACTGCTTTCTCTACATCACTAAGAAAAAACACAGCACTGAGATAAAAAGAAGTGATTCGCCCTCATAATTGCTGTGGTCAACACGTTACAGTATTCCCTCACCAGAATTTTATCAGCAATGGAATTTAATGAACTAATACCACTAGTTAATTCACTGTTTTGTGAGAAGCCAGGAGAGCTGTATTAAGATCACCGGACTTTGAATGCTGAGTTAAGATTACGGTAGTGCACGCGATCGTTCCTGTGTTGCTATTAGCAGTCGAGTGTGGACAGGCTTTGTTGTGTGTGGTTGAGACTGAGAAGCAACAACATGAGGAGAACAATGTCGTAATCATAAATAGCAAGTCAACTGTTCAATGTGTACATTCCATCAAAGTAGATTTGTTCAAATAAAAGTAGGTGTTACTGCCAAGGTAGGTGAGGTCAGTTCCTACAAAGGTAGCCATGGTCAGTTCACGTTCGGCTCAACTATGTGGGGAATGAGCTTTTGACAAGGTTAACCGTCTTCTATCAAAAGCTACCCCAAGATAGAATAAAGTAAAAATGTATAATGTACTAGTGAATTGGTATTTCATAATTGAAGCAGTAGACACACTACACACCTCTGCAAAAAATTTGTCAAAATAATATGTATGTTTTTCAGTTAAAAAGAGTGAGAAGCTAGAAGATTTTAAAAATTTCGTGAGAATATTTAAAAAAATGAAGAAATCCCAAAAGTTTGCCCCTTCCTAAAATAACATAAATGCATAAAAATTTCCTAAACTAAAATAGGAGAAAATACTAAGTGAGATCACTGATGCTGAAAGGGTTAAAACACTGATCAAACACTTCTCTTATTTTTAAACTTCTGATATTTCTTTTAATAATCTTCTGAAAACATAGAAATATTAGATGGGTAAAATCAAACTATTAAATTATAAAGAGTATTAAATTATAATAATTTTTATGGCAATAATTTTAATGAAGGTTGAAGATTAAATTTTTATAAAGGATTTTTTATTATTTGTAATACAAAACTACTTTATAATTTTCTTATACAAATTAGTTTTTCATTTCCCTGTTATACCATTTGTATTTTTTAGTGTTTCAGTCTCAAGATTCCTTCATTCTTTTACTTTAAATTTACAGTAAGGAAAATTTCCTTTGACAATAATAATTCAACAACAATAATAATATATTTTCTAAGCAAGAAATTTCATCATAAAATGATTTTTTTTTAAAAATTTAATAATACTATATTTATCAGTATCTATGAATTTTTGCAATATATATATAGAATTATTGTTAATTTTTTTTATTCATTAAATTTAAAAATTTTAGATTGTTACTTATTCATAATAATTATTTTAATTGTACAAATAATAATTTTATATAGTGTTTATTTTTAAAAAAAATATCAATATACAAAATTAATTTTTTCAACTTTTATTTATATTAGATTTATAAAAAAAATGTGTCTCAAAAAACAGGTAAGGTCAATACATTAAAGGAAAACTAGTATTATTTGAAACACATAATTCAAATTTTCTGTCAAATAAAAATTTTAGTTTTTAAAAAATAAGAACATAAAACGTTGTTCTATTGTTGTTGACTGGCATACAAAAATCCCCTTTCCCAGAATTGTATAGCAGGAACAGTAAAACGAAGCACTTCTTTAAAAAAAAAGTTTAAGGTTATCTTTAGAAGTCCCCTTCTACAAGAACGTATTGTTCCATCATTTGCAAAATGTTACTGATGAGACGTATGGCTGAACCAATTATTTCTTTTAATATTTATTCTCAATCTTTCAAGCTCACTAACAAAGTTTTCTTACAAATCATACGAATTAGAATAACGAATTAGTTAGGATGAAAACTAACTTAATGTGATAAAACGACTTTCGGGGACCCCATTGGAACTATGGGCCTAGGCCCATCCTTAATAATGGCTCTGGTTTCGGATTGATATAGCGAAATAAGGAAAAAATGCAATTGAAGTATTAATATTGGGACTATGTTCCAAATTGCGTCCACCCCTCATAGCTTGAGGGTATGGAAAAGGTATGCTTTTACAGAGGAAGAACAATTTTGTGTGACTGACTTAATAAATTAATCTTCAGCACAAATTAATTAACATATTCAGTTGAGCCTCTTAAACCATTAAGAGGATGCTATACCGCAGAAAAAAATTTTCATGAGAAATTTTTGTTCCACCTCCATTTGTAATTTAAAATATCAAAAAGCCAAGAAATTATGGCAGTATTACTCAATGTGGCGCTCCCCCTGCAAAACCAAACTCTATAAGTCAAAAATTAGAGATACAGAACTGCCCAAAGTAAAATTTAAAGATTTTTTGATTTTAATAATTTATACAGTCGAACCTGTTTATCTCGAATCTCACGCGAAAGGCGAAAAATTCGAGATAGAGAGGTTTCAAGTTATACAGGTACTTAAAATAAATTAAATTTAATTAAGAAATTTGATTAAAATTGCTTTGATTAAAAGAAATGTCTATATTTTTAGTAGAAAAATATAGACATTTCTTTAAATTAATTATACCACATACATCTATCAGTTTTTTAACATACATTTAACACTGAAAATAATAAATAAGATTTTTGACTGATAGCCTTATTTGTTTCAATTATTCTTTTGAGGTTAAAAAGATCGCAAATTCCTCATAGATCGTTTTCTATAGTTCACTTTAAAACTCTTAATTATCCTTTGATCCATTGGTTGCAATTTTGAGGCGAAAATGAATTTCTGTTCTTAGCTTTCTTATCTGTGTTGAAAAGCTAACCCCTGATGGTCACTACTCATTAACCCCTCACTTACTGCCAGAATCACTGTAATCCTTTCTAGTTAAGGAAGTGCAGGGATAGTGATTGAAATTCCAAGAAACACCCCCAACCTTTTCATCCTTACTTCCTATGGATTCACGAAATTGATCTCTGTCTACTAGTTCTACTGATAAGGAAAGTTTTGACATTTGTGCTCTATTATTAAAAGTGCTTTGATTAAAAGAAATGTCTATATTTTTAGTACAAAAATATAGACATTTCTTGAGAAAAAAAAATCGACATAAACATGGAAAATACATTTATTTTAGACTGTAAATGTAGGGAATTTTAAAAATTTCGAGATATAGAGGTTTTCGAGATAAAGAGGTTCGAGATAAACAGGTTCAACTGTAATAGCCGGTTTCAAATAGTGAAGTTTGTATTTACATGCATATTAATATGAATTAATGATGAAAGCAAAAAATTATTTCAGAAATGCTTTAATATTAATTTTTTAATTATTTTAGAACCTAAAATTTTCATGACATTAAACAAAATAGAATAAACAAGTTAAATATCTATGCATATAATAAAATTATAATTCTGTTAAATTTATTATTACAAGTTCAAGTTACTTTTAAAAATGTTTATAATTATCTTATTGTTTTAAAAACTTAATTTAAACTTTAAAAAATTCCTTATTTAATAGGAAATGAAAATGAAAATAAATAGAGTATTTATTAAAATAGTACTGATATAAAAAAAATGATAGTAACCACTCGTTAAGACAGTTTTAATGTCTGATAAACAACAGAGTTGCGAGTGATCCTTTGAGAATTTCCAAAGATAATTGCGATTTCTCCTGTTCCCAGAGAGAGAGTTATTTTGGTATGGTATTCTCTTAAGATAACAGTTTACTTGAAAATCAGATCACTAGATCAAAAATTCTTAAGGAATTCACTGTAATTGTGAGTACTACCAACTTCGGGGTACTTTCTAGTATAATATATATATGTTATTCATCTACTTAAAGTTCAGGAATCAAAATAGCTTAAAAATAGTACAACTTACTACCTACGGAAAAATCCAGTAGTTAGTAAGTCAGTTAACTAGATCTTAATTTAGCCCACTTAACCGTAGGAAACAAAACATTAATCAATAATTCTACTGACTTTTGTCTATTTTGAGGAATTTAAGATACTACAGTAACACTTATGTATGCAAACATTTCACATATTTAACTACATGTCTGTATCTTGATTCGAAATGAAGATTATTTTTCTGAAGTCACACCTCTTTATTTGATATTAAAGAGAAAATAAAAATACAGACTACATATAAAATATATATATATATATATAAAATAAATTAAACACAATGTAATATTGCTTAAAGTTTTGTAATCTAGGGTTAAATTACAATAGAATTTAGATTGAAAATAAACTTACTAGAAACCAAAATGCTATCTTAGTCTGTTTTCAAATTCTGTGTCATCAGATCTAAAATAAATAAATACAAATAGAATTTAGTCTAATGCAACCATTTAATAATTAAAAAATTTAAGAATTGATTGATTGGAGCTTCATAGGTTGAAAAAGAAAAATTTAATAGCTTGAGTATTATTTTTATACCAAAACTTTAGTAATTTTATTGTTCATAGCAATGACATAGTCAATTTAAAGGCTTTTACAAATGAAATGTTTTGGCGATCAAAGAATATATTGCTGAGCTAATAATGATTTGTCACGACTGTAATAATATGATCATATAGAATCAAATTACAGAGGTTACCTTCAACGAATTTTAGATTTAAGTGCATTATTTGATTACTGTCTATCCCCTTAATCCTCTGATCTATTTTAATGGATGTTTTTACATGAGCTTTTAATATATCTAAATAATACCTAATTTATTTTTATGTTGCAATCATATTCAAAGTCTAATTCTATCATTGAAAACCAGAGTTTTGAAGTGAGAAATCACTAAAGATAAGAGCAATCAAAAATTTGTTAAATATAAATTGAAATTTGTTTGACTAAGATTATGATACATTTTTCTTTGATTAAAGATCTCAGACAGTTATATTCAAAATAAAAACAGGTACATTACAAGCAGGCTATTTCAGAGTAATTCTAAATATTTCTGAGCTCTTGCAAACTCACAAAGACAAAACATCCAAGCAAGCACATGTAAGTTAAAACAAGCGTTATTAATAAAATAAAAAAACAAAGGACTACATAAACTAAACAACAAAGAACACATTTAAATGCAACATTTCAAGGAATTTGCTTATCTTCAAAATAATGAGAGTAATAAAGTAAAAACAATAAAATAAAACTTTAAATATGTAGATATGGTTATGGCTAGTGAATGATGATAAATCATGAGTTTTACATAAATTATGATATGACTAAAATGAAAAAGGAACCATAAATACCTGCATTTATTAACAAAATGTTGGTCCTCTGATACTTTCATAAAAATGAAGGAACTATGGACGATCATTTGTTAGTAACATTACTATTTTCAAGAAGACACACAAAAGAATCTTTTAGCTAGATCCAGATAGAGTAATTGACGATGGCGGCAATGATTCATCTTTTGCCTGCTTTCCTGGCATATTACATTAAATTTAATACTGAAGCAATCTTAACTTTAATTTACTATCAACATGAAGAAAAAAAAATCTTAACCTATTAACCGGGGAATAAAATTTTGTTCAACTTGTTTCACAAATGGGTTTGATTTCACTTTTTTTTCCCATAGTTATAAGCAGTATCAGCACACCTCAAGTGATTCCCATGACAAAAAATGCCATTATGCCCATTACAGTTGTAGATCGTGTATGGCGAAATACTTGGTCATACCCAGTTAATAGGTTAATTGCTTCTAGTCATCAACAGTATTAATCCAGTGGGTCTTTTGTCTTCTTACAGTGTACTGATAATTTAAGTTTTAGTAGCTCTAGATTCAACTTACCAGATACAGGCTTAGTGTTCATATATCTTGGGACATAGTAATTCAAAACAGCTTATTCTTTTTTTCCAGTACCCTCCAATCATAAGGAAAATAGGGAAAGTTGTACTAAATTTTATTTTAACAGGGTGCGTAACCAAATTATTCAACAAAAAATAAGCACTTTTCAAGCACTCAAAAAATATTTTTAAGCACTTTAAAATAATATCATAATTAGGCAGGGTTGGAAAGCTTTTGACAATTGACGGTTTCATCTTGTTTTAACCATCATGTAGGGGAAAAAAAATTGGCATTGTTTTTGGCAATTGTCAAAAATCATGAAAAACAAATGATGTTTTCATAGGCTACGAACTGACAATACGCCGTAATAGCTTGGGGTTGAATTAAATGTGAAAACGTTGAATAGAACAATGTGAACTGTGTCTTTTTGCATAATTAGTAGCAAAAATCAACATGGTAAAGGAAAAAACTATTTTTAAAAAAGGGAAAATTAAGCACTTTTTAAAATCATCCAATGAAAAATGCACCTTTAAGGGCTTTTAAAAATCGAAAATAAGCACGTTTAAGCACTTTTTAAAAACGCTATGCACTTTGTTTTAATATATTGTTTGACATTTTTAAAGATATTTACTTTTTATTATCACATTGCAAATGATTTTTTTTTCTTTTTAGATTCTTTGTCTACTGGTTGTATTGGGAGTGCGAAGGCTTGTCTTTCTACCAGTAAGTCTTATTTTTACAAATTTTACACAGATTTTGAAATCAAGTAAGTAATCAAGTTTGAAATCAGTAAGCTTTTTATTATTTTATTCTGCTTTCCAAACCCAGTAATAAATATGTGCAGGCAAAATAATGTATTAAAATATGATAAAATAAACATATTTGTTTAAATAATTACTCTAAAAAAATGAAGCTACAGGTAAGAATAATGATATGATCATCAAAAATGCTTTTCCTATTAAATGTTAATCCTTTGAAACAGAATTTAATAAAATATTTTTTTGCTTGTAATTAGAGTGTCAGAAAAAATATATAAAAGGTTCATCAGTGCAAAGGGTTAAATGATCCTCCAAATAAAACATGAGCTACATACATGATATAAACAACTAAAATTGTAAAATTAAATCTTTAATTATTTTTTAATATTTTTCAGGTAATAGGACCGTATCTAGAAGAAAAGTTTGAATGGCAAGAATTTGATAAACTTGTAGAATCAAAGGAAACACTGCACGACTGGAAATAAGGTTCATCTAAATTATAGTACGAAAGATCAGACTGCAGACTTATAAATTTGAAGTAATCATTTAAGAAAGCTTAGTTAATCCAACCAAAGGTGACAATTTAACATAAAAATCATTAAATGAGTTTTAAACAGCAACTGCTGAATTGAGCATTTAGGGAGAAAAACAATCATGCAATTTCGTTTCATTACAGCACATAAATATAAAATTTGGCTCGGTATAAAAATCAAGAATCATTTGTGTAGCGTAGTTTAAATAACTTTTGAATTATAAAAAAATATTTTATATGTATTTGAATTATTAATTGATTATTAATGGATAATGCTTATAATTTTTTTCAAAATTATTAATCAAACATTGGTGCATGAATTACAAATATACATTAGTAACTATATTTATATAGTTAAAGGATATGGGGAAAAAAATCATCTGAGAAGTGTTGATAAATTTATCATTACATTTTTGTTTGAAATCAAGAACAGACCAAATTTCTGCATTTTTTGTACTTAAAAAACATAATATAGCAAGACTATTTTAATTATATAAGGATAATATTCAAGAAAGACAGTTTAAAATTCAGGCTTAATAAATAATCTAAAAAATCAAAAATGTCCTATTGTATTAAAAGAAACATTAAAAGGAAACAAATTATTAATATTTATCCTAACCTTGCGAAGTAATTAAAATCTGACATAATGTAAATTTAATAAATATCCTTATATTCTTTTTAAAAAAAAAGATAACAAAAACCATCTTATTGTGTTAAGAGTAGAGTTGAAAAACAAGTAATTAACCTTAATCACATTTTTATTAAGTAATTAAATTATGCGATCAACATTTTTTACAATTCAACATGAAGTGAAAGAAATTCGTATTGTATATAATACAAAAACTAAAGAAGAAAAATGGGAATAATTATCCTACTGAGTTAGGAGAAATATCGAAAACGAGGTTCAACACTATTTCAAAGTTCAAAATTATAAAAAAAAGGAAAATTCAGGGTAAAAATATATTAAAAAATTCCTATATAATGACTAACCTAAAAAAATAGGACCAAAATATCATTAACAAGCATTCTACCATGTTACAAACGACAGTAAAATAAAATATAAAAAGTTGTTAATCTAAAACACATACGCATAACTATTCCAATGATTGTTTTCTATGATTTTTAATTTAAATATGAAATAAGTTGTAAAGCTAGAGCTAATGATGAGCATCAAGCTAGTGTGTTATTTTCAAATACAAGGATGTTAACAGTTTTTTTCTACAATGACAAGAATATGTAAACGTGACATACGTAAAAAGTGGTGATAAATTTTAAGAAAAAAACATGCTTTAACATAATCACAATTACCAAAAATTAACGCCGATTCAATAAATAAACATTTAAAAATTAACACTCCTGAAATGACGTAGCAAATCTAAAATTAAAGATAAATAAGTAAAATCTGTAGCAGTAGTACTAATGCTATGCTTTCCAGTACTGTAAATGTTGATATTAAAATGCAATTTGAGAATTTTCAATAGTTCAAATTGCATAATGATTCTTGCCTTAAATTTAAGGCTCAACTAACTATGTTAATGTTATGTTATTGTTATAAAATAAATGTTTTGAAGACAGCTGATGTTATTAGTATTTATAAGACTACATTTCATCTGTGCCAACAGCATTACAAAAGCATAGCTGGCAGCTTATACGTTATTTGAAGAAATGAAGGCTTCTAATAATAGCACAAGACTAGCTACAACGGGTTCATGTTAAACATCATTGTAAACTGGGCTGTAAAATAAGCCAGACTAAAATAATAATAATAAAAGAGTAAAAAAAAAGAGAAAAGATCACTGGGGCAAGCTAGGGTTTTGAGAATCGTATTTATCTAAAGAGGCACCCTTCCCCAGTTCCCACAAAAGAAGCTATTTGAAATTTAATTATTAATGATAGTCTAAAAGCAGAGAAAAAGCATTGAAATAGACAAAACTTTCAAGGCTATTGTCATTTTTAAACAAATGATCAAATATTAAAGCATACATTTTGCTACCAATGTAAAATTTGAAAGAAATATAAAAAAAAATTTGCAGCTCCAAAATCTGATTGTAAAATTCAAGCTTCATTAGCAAATTTAAAGTTGCATTATGTTAGTACTCCATAGGGATTGGTGGCTGACAGCAGCCACACAACTGCAAAACTTTCATGGCCATAGTCATTTTTAAACAAATAAATTAAACCACTAATCAAAATTAAACTACTAATCAAAAAAAAAAAACATTTCACTGCCATTTGAAAGAAATACAGAAAAATTGTAGCTCAAAAATTTGATCATAAAATTCAATCTTATTTTGCAAAATTAAAGTTTCATTATGCTAGTACTCTAAAGAGATCAGTGGCTGACAGCGTCCACCTGCAAAACTTTTATTGCCTCATTTTTAAATAAATATATTAAACTAATAATCAAATAATGACATTTCGCTACTATTTGAAAGAGATATAGAAAAAATACAGCAAAAAAATCTGATCGTAAAATACAAGCTTCATTAACAAAAATAAAGTTGCATTATGCTAGTACTCTATAGGGATTGGTGGCTGGCACTAACTTCACAATTGTAAAAGATAAAGTCATTCGACTTTCACGTGTTAAAAAAATACATGTATATTCTAAAAACTCAAATACTATGCATGAAATATACTTTTAGATACGTATCTGGTAAATTCGTGTTTTTCCGGCCCCATAACATGCTAAATTTATCATTTACGAAGATTTTAGACTACTAATATATTTAATTTAGTATTGTTGAAATAAGATCATTTAATACCATCTTTTAATGAAGTTTATACTATTATGTACCAGTTTTGGTAATAACTACTGTTGATAAAAGGAGTAACTCAAACTGACCATTTTTTATTCCTGGAGAAGTTTAGTTTATTATGGTTAACATAAGTCTGCATTCAAAGATTTGATTTTAAAAAGGTAAGCCGTTTCTGTGGTTACTAATCTGGCAACAAAAATTGTGATCGATTCTGATCTACAAAAATTGTTATTTGAATGGTGTTTGTTTGCTATCAGCACTCTTTTTAAAATCTCATTTAGAGCGCATACTAACGGTTTAATTACTAAGTTTGTCTTTGTACAAGAGTTAGAGGAAATATAGAGATTTGTGGCAAAAGAGCCTTAATTAGTTAAAATGTAAGCATTATTTCATAATTTAGGTAAGCAGATAAAAGAGTGTGGTAAACTAAGTCTGTTGCCAAAAATTTGGGTGGAAAAAGGATCACTGGAACGCATTAGGGTTCAGACCAGCAAATCTCTGAGGACTTAATACAAAATTTAAATTGTTTATAAATTAAAAAAGTAGATTTTTAATTTTATTTTTGTGAATATATTTTCTTTAAATAAAGTCACAAAATCAGATTATACTCTTTAAAATGTGTGATACATTTTGTTGTAGTTAATTATAAAAGAAAAACAAAGTTCTTAAGAGTACTACACGAAAAGATTGTGCCTTCACTTTTATTTTTGAACACTGAATAGGCCAAAACAAATTAAATTTAACTTTATTCCAACTGAAGTTTTTATAGCTTATATGTGTGCTACTAATATATTAAATTAAATCCTAGAGAAAGAAAAATATTCTTACCATAAAGAAGCTAAATTACACCAAAGAAATTGTGATTTCTTTTAATGATTACGTTTAGAAAATCATCATACAGCTATAAATTTGTAAAATAAATAAATAAATAAGTAAAATAAAAAACTAAAAACACACAGCAGAAACTGTATCCGTAATTTTTAATCAAGTCTTTTTAAACCTATACATACCAGTAACAAATATAAAAATCTCAGATAAAAGCTCTTTGATTACATTATTTATATAAATAGATTTAAATTAAAATATATAATACATAGATAAATTTCATGTGAATAAATGTCATAAAATATTAACGAAGATTTTATATATAATACTAATTATATTTATAAAAAATGTTATTGTTATAAGTGTTCCTTAAATATAAGCTCGTTAACAATTTTATATATTTAAAATGATGTATTATAAACAGGCAAATATTTTATTGCACTTAAAAGGTAATTTTTAAATTATTTCAGTCATTTTTATAAAGTTAGTGATTACATGATCCTTATATTCTTCTCTGTGCTTAATTGTAGAAGGCACTATAAATTAAACATGATGATAGCAAAAATTAAGAAATGATTCATGATTGGTGCCAAGTTTGAATAGTACAATTAAATACATTTAATATTACTATAAAAACAATCTATAATTAATAAAATAATTTATATACAATAAAAAGGATTGAAATAAAGAGATCAAGTTTTTATCATCTAACAGGTCTTGCTTTTCGAAACTTTTTTTGACGACAATTGAGTGTCAGATGAGACAAAAAAAATTAAGGAATGGTTAGTCGCTGGCTTTTAACCAAGTTTAAGAAACTTTAATGCATGCATTAAAAGTAAAAATAATTTTCAAACAATAAAAAGTTATTTACAAAATATTTCAATTGATTAAGTACCTTCAATAAATAAAGATCTTTCATGGTGAAATCTTGCATTAATATACTTAAAATGAATTATATAATTCAAACTATAAAAAATATGAAAAATAAATTATGATTTAAAGCGATTTAAATAGATGAGTTGAATCCTTATTCAGCTAACATTTGCCTTATTTAAAATATAGAGTGAAAAAATAAGATATGTAAATGGAATGTATAAAACATCAATCATTTTAAATGCATCTACATTAATGACATAAACAAACGAAACAGAAGCTATAAATAAAATAGACTAAACTTAAGGGCTAAAAGCTATAAAAAGAATTAATAATTAAAAATGTACATTAGAATCAAAAGTTTATCAGGCAAATTATGGTGATTTCACTGAATGTTAAAAAATTGCAAGAGCCACCACTGATGCTCTTGGCATTCAACTTTACGTTGCATTTTGTGAGCTGAGTGGAAATATTTAGAAATGTGAAATTTTTAAGGTGTAGGATAGAATCTATAGAAAGTATGATGGAATTAAACGTTTTAACATGTAATCCTTAGTTCAGGAATTATTAACAATCATAAGTTAAATAAAATACTGTGCGAGCAGCCCTGCAGCTCACAGAAAAGCAACTTGCAGAGTTGAAATTTAACATGCTGAAAGTCCATTGTTATTTATTAACTTAACGAGCATTTCAACCAAAATTTTAATTTTTCGAAAATTCTTACAATTTTGTAAATGTTTTTCTTTCTTTTTTAACAATGATCACATATCATTTGTTGCAGGAGAAGAAAAAAAAAAATTTAATAGCTCATTTTCCTTTATTGAAAATTAGAAAGAGTTGCCATATTATTACCAAAGTTTAGCATAATTGTTGTTACTTCTCAACTCATTGAGTCAAAAGTGTTTTGATTAGTTTACAATATACAAGTGGAATCGCCAAATAAAATTAACGGTGATGTTAGTTTTCAAAATAAAAGTATCAAGAAAATAAGCTCAAGAAACAATTGAACTTTTTTTTTTATAAAAAAATGGTAAAAATTACACCCAAGGCAGGAATGAACACTTTTTTTAATTAATGCTTTTATAAGCCACTTAATGTATAAATAAGAATACTGCAAAAAACTGTCAAATTTTCGTCATAAATTATTTGTTTTTTATTAAAAGTTATGTTTTTGTTTTCTTAAATTTTATGTATAAAATATAAGGAATGCATATAAACCAAATTAGTATTTTAGTCCTTAAAAACAAGTTATGTCAAGTCTGAAAAAGCAAGCCGTAAATTGCAAAGCGAAAAAAGAAAGCACAGGAAATAAAAAATATTAATGGAGTGCTTTTGAAAAATATTTATGAAGACTATTGTATATGCAATAAAGGTATCAATTTATAAAATTTGTCTTGAAATGCTGCTTCATGAGGGTAAAATATCAAATTATGTATTACAGTCGTCCCCACTTAATCGCCCCTCGGATAATCGAATAACCCGCTTATACGAATAAAATTTAATGGAACCAAATCATTTTATATGTAACTAATGTTACATTTCCCCGTTTAAACGGTTATTTGTTGTTTCCAGTCCTCGCTTAATTGCATAAAGAAGATACTGTGTTGAATTTTTTTTAAAGAAAAGTTTCCCCCAGCTAGAATGGAATTTCCGTTTTTCGGTTAAGATGATAAGAATACATTCGGTGATCACTTCAATAGCTCTTCCTATTCATTTGCTGCTCTAAACAGGTGTTAATGGTTTAAGCATTCATCAAATGTTGTTGACAGTTGTACATTAGAGTAAACGAAGGGGGTTTTGACACTATTCATTAGCACACCCGGAAGGTATAGAGTGATTTATTTTACGGTAAAGACTTCTAGTCCCCTCATGGTGCGTTATTTGATAAGATGAAGTTTAAAAAGCCTGCTTTTACACTATACAGGGTTCCTTTCTCCAAAGTGGAATAATCATTGCTTACTTCAGTGAATGCTTACTCTTGAGTTGGTTGCACGATGAGCACGAAAAGGAATGATTTGAGTTTATCTAAAAAAATAGAAGTCTTGGAAGAAATAAATTTTAAAAAATCCCAATCTGAAATTGCGAATAAATTTGGAATTTCTCAAACTCAAGTTTCGAGGATAAAAAAAAATGGTGAAAGCATTCGAAAGGAATATGCGAGTAATGGAAGCCTCAGTAGAAAAAGAAAGAGAAAATCGAATTTTGATGACGTAGATCAAGCTATGTTGGACTGGTTTCAAGCGAAAAGAGCTAAAGGTGCATTGATCAACGGAGCAATGATCCAACAGAAAGCAATGGAAATTTCAAAAAATTTTGAAAACTGTGAAAAGTTTATTGCTTCAAACGGTTGGCTTTACAGATGGCAGCAGCGGAATAATTTAAGTTTCAAGATCGGACATGGAGAATCTGGCTCTACAGATGATTCTACATGTGAAATTTGGCGAGAAAAGACATTAGTGCCTTTGCTTCAGGAATATGGTGCGGAGAATATTTTCAATTGCGATGAAACGGCCCTTTTTTACCGCGCAATGCCATCAGGAACATTGGCTAAAAGAGGAGAAAAAGTCCCAGGTTATAAGAAAAATAAAGACAGAGTGACTTTATTATTTTGTGCCAATCAAGCGGAGACAGAAAAGCTTGAGCCCTTAATGATTGGAAAAAGCAAGCAGCCGAGGTGCTTAAAAGGGATACAGAAGTGCCCGATTCCGTATATGCATTCTCGAAATGCGTGGATGACGAGGAACATTTTTAGAAAATGGTTGGTCGACTTAGATTTGGATTTTAAACGGCGAAATAAAAAAGTAGTCTTATTTCTTGACAATGTTTCTAGTCATAAAATAGACTCACTACGCCTGACCAATATCATTTTACAATTTCTTCCCGCGAATGCAACTTGCAAAATTCAACCTCTTGATCAGGGAATTATCCGTTCCTTTAAAGCCCGCTATCGAAAGCAAGTGATTCAAGAGGTCTTGCGCTTCTTGGAAGAAGCTACACCAGAAGAATCATTGCTGTCAGTTTATAAAAAAATAAACCTCTTGACGGCAATGCACTTCGTGAAACGTGTGTGGGATAGTGTCCCAATGGAAGTGGTTAAGAACTGCTTCAAAAAAGCCCAATTTTTCCCACCCGAGGAAATTAGAGATGATGAAACAGTCCAGTCATCTACGACTTAGAAGAATTTTTGAATTCCGAATTTGAAGGGTTGGGCATGACAGACAATGATTGGATGGAATTTATAAATTTGGATGAAGAGGAAGACATCGAATTAGAAGAGAATACCACGACAATTGCCGAACAAGCAGAAGAGGAAGATGAGGACCAGGACGATCCACCCCATCCTCCAAAAATTAATGAGGTTTACAATTCTTTAGCCACAATAAGATGACATTTTGAATGTAATGGAGGGGACTATAATGTACTGTACAACTTAGAAAAAGAAGTAGAGAAATGTTCTATTAAGCGTGTATCAAAACAGTCTTCTATTACAGATTTTTTTGGAATAAAATAATATTATAGTACGTATATTATATTTTTCATTACCATTGATCTATTTTATTATTACTTTAAATGAGATTTATATTTAATGATAACTAATATTGATAGTTTTAATTATAATTGTTTGTTGATCATAAAATTGAGTTTATTTAATCAAAACATCATACTATGTAATAAATACCATTTAAAAGTAAAATTTTATAAAAACATAGTATTTAATATCGAATAATGCACTCCCCTATTAATCGAATAACCCGCTTAATGGAATAGAGTTGGCTGGAACCGATGGTATTCCTTTAAGCGGGGTTGACTGTACTAAATAACAGTAATTTACATCAGTTTTTTAAAAATTTTATGAATTAATTTACGGCAAACAAATGAACACATCAGAAAATATAGAGTTTGAAAAACGTTCATATTTTTTTGAAACATTGGAATGTTAGTAATATAAAGTTTTAATTAAATAAAGTTAAATTGCTTTTTAGGGAATGACATCTGAATAAGCCACTCTGACCTCACTCTTTATCAATACATGAATTTAAAGTTGATTTAATTATTATTTAGAGATTTTGAAAAGTGCATCATAATAAAAAAAATATTTTGTATTTAAAAAAATTATTCAAAAAAAAATCAGAAAAATGGCAAAAAATTAGAAAAGGGAAATTGCAGAAAAACATGAATCCTACGAATAAGGTTGCATGCCTGAACCATGTAAATAATTAATGGATCATCCCTAAGTTTGAACTATCAAAATTTGCAATTTTTACAAGCATTATTAATTAAAATAAATAGATGTTGGGTTGAGAATCCAAATCTTTTAATTTTTCAAATCGATTTTAAAATTCACACTTGTTTTTGTAGAAAATGGGACATTCTAAACACACACAAAAAATCAGAAATGTCAGAACAAAAAGTTAAAAATCAGGACATAATATTTTTTATCAGCTAAATCAGAATAACTTCGAACCCAGAATGCCTGAATCAAATTCTCATATCAAATTAGTTGTGATTTAATTATTTACCAAAAATTCCCATACCTAACCACAAAACTGTACAAAAAAAAAAAAAATACAGATCAAATCAAAAATATTTTGACCATTTCTGTTTTGTTCAAAGATATATTGTAAGTATTTTTTTTACAAAAATAGCTCTGCTATCAATATTTACAATTTTTATATTAGCTATTTTTTAATTTAGAAAATAAATTTATTTAATGAAATAAATTAACTTTTTCTTTAGTTAAAAAGGAGCAGGAAATTCGATTATTTTTTATCATCCATCTTAAGTAATGTATGAAAACTAGATTTTATGTGGTGACTTTTGAATATTTTAGTACTTAGGCTCATTTAAGACTTTTGAACTTTGAAAATAGATTTTTGGAAAGACTTCAACACAATAACTAAAATCAAAGACAATCAGAAATTAAACTCTCACAGAACATGCATAAGACACTCATACAAGAACATAAAACATTTGGTGAAACAAAAAATGGAATGCTAAAGCATGCATCACTAGTGCACATTCAATGCTATGTTAAGCTATTCAAGCACATCACTGGATATTAGAGTCTACATAGCGCAAGGTTATAGGTGATGAATTTTCAGTAGATTTATACATTTCTTTTTCAGGTTCCGAGGAAGGCAGCTTCATTTCATTCGGCTCTCTAAAATATCGCCCGATTCCCTGAAACAAACAAACATGGAAAAATTAATATTTTTCGTAAATTAATTTCAGTGTTTTTTTTTAAAAAAATTCAAACATCTAGAATTATAAATAAATCAAAATAAATTATATACAGTAATACTAAAAGAAAACACAAATATTTTTAATTCTAAATATGTCAATGAAAAATGTCAAGAGAAAGAAATACAGTTAAGCATTCTATTAATTTGTTACGTATTTCTTTCTCTTGACATTTTTCATTTTATTCTTCATCTGCGCATTGTAATAGAGGGCGTTGTTTTCTTTAGGTTTTAGTTTTTTCTTTTCATTCGGCCTGCTTGTGAAATTGATGTTTGACCTGTGACTATGTGAGTTTTTATTTTTCTGATGATTTCGTTTGAGTTTCTTTTCTTAATTTGTTATTTATATTGCATGTTCTTTTCCTGGACTTCTATACAAAACCATCGGGGTACTAAGGGAGTTAATTTAGGCATTTGCTTCTCCCTCAATTAGAAATGGTTTTGTTTTTATGGCTACCAGGGCCGGTACCCCCTGAAGACGTCGGCTTCGGTGGTCATATTTTCATTTTTATTTCCTTCATTTTCTTTATTATATACAGTAACTCTGAAGTAATAAATAATGAACTAATTTTAGCTCAAACATATAATATTCAAGACGCCAGAGGCTGAGTGGTAGCACTTCACGCTCCTGTGCCACAGGTCCTGAGTTCGATCCTCGGGACGGGCAAGTTTGACACAGCCTTTCATCCCTTCAGTGGGTCGATAAATGAGTACCAAGCATGCTTGGGAACTAAACACTGGGCGTTCCGCGTTTGGCTGACCACCTGACTGGAACATCTGCTCCTGCACCCCAGAGCCGAAGAAAACTGAGATGGGCACAGTAGGCCTTGGCACTCTATGGGCTGCTGCGCCACTGAGTTTAGTTTATATAATTTTCAAAATACTTAGTGACTCATATTAACTTTTTCATTTGCTTCAGCTAATCTGATGCTTGGTATAAAAATATAATTGATTTCAACACTAAGAATTTTTTCTCATTATTATTATTTTTAACTATATAAACTAGATTTCAAAATAAAATGAAGTGCTTTAAAAAACTAACTTACTGGAATGTCAGAAACTCTTTGAACACCAAGAACAAACAACAAGCAGAAAACCTTAAAAGTAGACAAATTAATGAATATAAAAAATATATAATACACTATACATTAAATAATTTGAAGAAACAAAATACCACACCTAGAAACTATCTAATCTATACACATTTATAAAAAGAATTTGTAATCAAATTAACTCCTTGTAGTGAATACTTAAAATAAAATACCTTTAAGTTTATCCAGTTTAGCTTATACGGAATGTAAATCAAAATTGAAAAAAAAATTTATAGATAGACAACTAGTAAATTACATCAAAGTAAAGAGCTAAACTTTGCAAAAAGATCATAAATATTACCACACAAATAGATAGTTACAATTCAATAATAAATAAATTTCTTATGCCAGAAATGAATGTGATCACATTTAAAATCGGCAAGTCTTGAAAATGGGTGCCTACTTTTGAAGCGCTTGAAACATGTTGACCGTTATTTCATATTTGTTGATTTCTGAAGCGAATGGAGCTTTTAATCAGGTAATATCTTACCACTTCACTTTCTTGGGATTATTTATTTAACTTTCTTCATTGTTGAAACAGAATGAAAAAGTGAAAATGCAAAAGGTTTCTGATCTAGTTCAAGAATCTCTGTTTCCTTCTATGATTCTGTGTTTTGACACTGAAGAAGGCCTTTCATTATAGACTTGAAACAATAGAAAGTTCCATGCATAAGAGTGGGCAAAGAACAAAGAGTCTGATTACCTATCAACTTAAATGATAAAAAAGAAATTTAAAACAAAAAGGTTGTGAAACTGTTTTGCCCAAAAGGGAAGCATTTAAATTAATTATGTTCTTTTCATGTTGCTTTGCTTTATTCAATTAAACGACAATTGGGTGAGTGGAAAATGTTTAATGAACATTTTATAGAAAAAAGAGCTATTTTAAAATTTAAGAACTATTCCCCCAAAAATAATATTTGTAAAGCAATCAAAGTGGCTAATCTGTTATATCAGTGCAGAAGTTGGCAAGCAACTGATTATAAATGAGGAAGAGAGTCTGACCAAAGTTTGAGCAACAAAGTGCAGGTTGAATCTGCAATCTTAACCATTGGTGTGAAAGTTAGAGAAAAAGCAAAATATCAGATTGCTCAAAAACAAATTTTTAAAATGGGCAAGCTTTACCTAAGAGCTGGGTTGAAGCTAGTATAAAGTCAGGGAACAAACCTAGCTTTTTATGAAGTATTGAATATTAGCTAGGTCATATGACAGTTAGTAAAGGCTATTAAAATAAGAGGTTTTAGAACACTTGCAAACGCGGTTTTAAAAGTTATGTATTAACTATCAGTATTGATAAAAACATCTCTAAAAAGTTGAACAAGCAAAACATTAATATTTTAAAGAAATTTATAAGCAAAATCTGGAATAAAAGCAACATAATATTGGTTAAAACTCAAAACACTATAAGATTTTAACCAATTTTTCTCTCATTATTTTCCTTTTAATATTTCTCCTTTGCTAATTAATCAACCTAAAAAAACTATAGTTTTGTTCAATATATAAAAAAAAAATTCTTAGAGGATATTTTAATTTTAAAATCTAGATGAAAACTTACCAGATATGCTATGAAACAAATATAAAATATCAAGTAAAGTGATAATCCTAAGTCAAGGGCCCACGTGTTTGGAAGCTTGTCTGTAGCGAATTCTTCAACAAAATAAAGATTAATGCCTATCACAACTATTGCTAGTAGGCATGTGATTATTTTATTGACGCTGTAAAATTTAAAAGTACTCAATAAATGATCAAATGTAAATGTAAATCACAATCTGAAATACGTTTTTAAAATAAATTTCAATTGACAAAAAATCTCACTTCTGAAACTAAAAAAAACAACACTGTTTTAAAAATGAATAATTATTTTTTACGATTACTAAAATGAGGTTACACAAACAGATAATATTACAAAATTTCTCAAAATTCTTTGTTTGAATTATCTTAAAAGCAAAAAAAGATAAAATAATTCTCAAATATCTGTTCAAATGTTTTCACTTTACATTTCTTAAATGTTAAAATTTCATTATATTGACAAATTATAAAGTTTCGAGATTTTTTTTGGGTGCTATTAACAAAATAACTTCGTTTTAATATTTTACTTTTTTTGATATTTAAATCTTATTTATTTACTTTAGCTTTAATTAAAACAATTTACAATTCTGTACAGATTTTAACGAAGTGTAAAAACAGAAATCAAATAAAGTAGGCATTTTAAAAAAATATTGAATGTTTAGAATTTTAGTAATACATAATAAGTTTACTACTAATTACATTTATATTATATTTAATAGGAATTAAAAAATTTTTAACAGCACTTATAAAGTAAAAGGAACACAATTTTTTTTTTTTTTACTAAAAAATGCATATTTATAAATACATAAAATGGTTTGCTTGTACTGCAATAAAATTCTTATTATTTGTTACTTTAATCATTAAATATTTTTTATTTGCACAAATTTTTTTCATTTCTTCAAATACACTACTAAATTTCTTTTTAACATATTTCAGGGGTGATTGTGAGCAAAAGTCAAAATTCCGAAAAATTTCTTGAGTTAAAAAAGAAAAAAAAAAGTTTAAATTGAAAAATTAGACAAAAAAATTTAAACAAGTTTTTTTTTCTTTTTCTCAATATTTCTTAGTTTACTTAAACTTACTTACTTTACTCTATTTAACTTCTCTTACTTAGTTTACTCCATTTAAAATTTTACACATACCTATGATGACCTGGAGAAGTAATTGAAATTTACAAATATGTCTTTTTTTCTTGAGTTCATGATTATAACAACTATTCACTGATAAAAAATGAATATTAATCTTGAATATAAGCTTATAAAGTATCTCTCTGACTCTCCCTTACAAACAAATAAAATAAACTGTGTTTTTAAGTTCCACCTTTAAAAATTTGATTTCCCGAAACTTCTGTGATCAATGATTTTTTTAAAACGCCTGAACCTTTGATCTCCGGAAACTTCCGGATTACTGTTAGCGAAAATTCCGGAAATCCGGATTTTTTCCGGAGCACAATCATCCCTGATATTTCTACAATTTTACAAATGTTTTTAATCAAGTTAATATTTTTGGCATTTTATTAACTATACAGAAGTGAAATTTCTATTAAAAAAAATTAAGAACAAAATAACATACATTCCATTTCGAAAATCTCCCATGACATTTAGTGAAGATGTGAATATTAATGTTGGAATAAGAGCGAATGGTAATTGTAATGACATGAGAGCATTTAAGTAGTCATTCATCTTACTAAGATCTCTAATGTCACTGTAGATTGCAATAAAGAGGGTGGGAGCAATGGCAATACATCTGGTCAACAAAACTCTCTTCCAACGGGCCCACTTAAGGTTCAAAAAGCCCTACATAAATATAAAGAAACAAAAGATTTTACAATAACATTTAAAAAAATCATTACAAACATGTTATTTATGATTACAGATATGTAGACACATGGGAAAAGGTGCAAAAGTACAGATAATGTATAAGTATGGATATACTTCACATTTATACAGGATAATCAAGATCCTACATTATGAGTTTTAGTGCAAAAACTAGTAATAATAATACAAATCCAAAAACTAATATTTAATGCAGAACAAATAATAGAAATCAAAACACAAATTTCTAAAACTTATGCAGAACAAAAGATTGCTTAAAAAGAACTTCAAAAAAGATACAGGAAACTCACTTCCATGACAAACTGTCCAGAATAAGTTCCAGTCATAGTTGAACTTTGTCCAGCAGCAAGAATACCAATTGCCCAAATATATAAAGGTACATTCCCATACTCACAGCCTAAATATATACCCTAAAAATAAATTATGATTAAGTTTCTTTCTTGACCTACTTAAAATGTTAACTAAACATCTAAATTATTATACATTCAAATCACAAAATATTTTTTAGTAGGATCTTATAAATAGTTTGGACTTTAAGATATTTATAAATAGGTAAATTTTCCTATTTCAAAATAATATAAATTTCAATTAATACAAATCTGAAAAATCCAGAATTCATTAAGTTCTTAAACTAAAAGTTTTATATGTCCAACTTCTTTAGTAATTTATACCACATTTTTCCAAGTGAATAGGTCTTGTTGAGCACATAGGCATATTCTACACAAAATGCCTCAGAAAAAAACAATTCTCAAATCCATTTTTTTTTTAAATTTTAAAATATTATATATATATATATAATTAACCTAACCTAGAACTTTAACAATAGAACAGGATAATAAACAAATAAGATACTTCAAGCAAAACTCAAATTATTATATCTAAACTTTAGAGAATTAAGGCATATAGGCAACAGTCTGTGATTAGCTGAGAGCTAAAATTTATTATATACAAACAGAAAACAACTATATTTGAAATAATTTTCTTTTGAAAACTATAATAACTAGACTTAAAACTTTTATAACTAGACTTAAAACTTTTATCAAACTATCTATATAATTGGAAATCAAAAATAAATGTTAATTCTCTGTCAAAAAAATTTTTTTCTACTAAGAATTTTTTCTTAGAAGAAATCTTTACAATATAAAACTAAAAACAAAGATACATTTTTATATTTAAACTTAAAAACTTTTGCAGTTATGGCATAGTTATATATCTCTTGGCAAGTTACGTAGCTTAATGTAATTAACACTATCATGATGTTAAAAAGTGATATTTGATTTAACCTTTATCAAATGTTGTAACTATAATTTTGAAATCATTATTATTTTTTTCCTGCAATTTTCATCTAGCAATTTTGTAGCAGCTTGCCACAACATTGCTATACAAAAAAACGTCTATTTAGACTTTATTGTATAATTGCAAACATTAAGAAAAGACAGAGTTAAGAAGTTTAAAGAGAATAACAAAATAAATTTAAAATAGTTGCAGCTTAATCAGAAAATAAATAATATAGCCAACAACTAGGTAAAACTCTAAGCATTTTAAATTTTTATTTCATCAAAATAAAAAATATATGTTCATTTATTTTATAAAATTTTAAAATAATTATCAAACAACAAATTAATAAAATTTTAGTTACACAAAGTTATAATCAGTAATTGTTTTGGACATGAGTAGTAAAAGAATATCAGTGGTGATGATTTTAGCATTATTAGATTATAACTGAATTATTTAAATTGTGAATTCCCAATTATTTTGCAACATATAATATATTAAGGATATAATATTGGTGCACAATATATTATATCACAAAAATCATGAGGAATTTTTAAAATTGAATTATTTTTTAAATACATGATATTTTGACAGTGAAAACTTTTTGCTTTTCGATGCAGAAGTTTTAATGTTAGATTAAAATAAAATTACGTTATTTTTTTAAAATTAATTTCACTGTAACATTTTTGCTGAAAAATAAATAAAAATTAAAAAAACGAAACTGAATAAATCAATTTTTAAAATATAAAAATTTATTTATTCAGTTTTGTTTTTTTAATTTTTATTTATTTTTCAGCAAAAATGCTACAGTGAAATTGTTACAGTGAATCAGCAGCATTTTTCTTTTAATTTTCAGCAATTTTCTTTTTTGTATTCAAAAAGCAGATGACATACCCTTAAATAAGAACCACAAAGTGCATGTTAAAAACTAAAACTACCTTGTTTAATTATCCAAATTAAACATGGCACCAAATTTATTTTTTGAATATAAACATATTTATTTTCTTCTAAAATAATTATAATTTCTAACTATTTCTGATTTAACAACTCTGGGATTAAACATTTTTATTCTAATTGAATTTATTAAATATTTAATAGAGAATAATATAAATCAATAAAACAATTTTGTTAACAGCTTCTTTAAATAAAAATGAAATCTAATGAAATCGAAAATGAGAATTTTCTCAGTTTGTTTCTCAATTATCAGTCTTCATTTATTTACTTATTAGAAAATATTAAAAATGGAAATAAAAAATAAAGAAAACAAAGTTCTTGACAAATAATACTTACTGCACGATATATATCAACTTCTAGAGTAGAGTTATCATTCTGAAAGTTTTTAAAACATTAAGTTAGATTAATATATTTTTTTTAATTGAGATTAATAGTTATCATATCACACGTATTATAAACAAGCTATGTAGATAATATAAGACAAAAAATCAAATTAATGAAGCAAAAATAATTAAACTACTTCAAAAGTAAGAACTTAAAGTAAATGCAAAACAACATTTTTTTAAAATTATTGAAGTTGCAGAATAATTAAGCAATAATTATCTATATAGCAATAATTAAACAAGAAGATGAAGTAACATTTGGTAAGTTTTTTTAAACAGTTTAAAAAAAAAAAATTCCATTTTTCTTTTATAACCCCTATTAATTCATCTGTTAAATAATAATACAAATTTTAAATATAATTTTTTATCCTTAATTAATAAAAAATTTTTATAAATATAAAATAATTTATCTCTGACTTTGGGATCAAATGAGACATTAAACTACTGAGTAAAATTATAACATTAATTAATGTCAGTGCCACTTTTTACTTTACTTTTTTACAGATAATGTATAAATAACAATGTGAGGTAATATTTAGTTATTTTCCTCCTTTTTAATTTTTTGAAACAGTGCTTATTAAATATGTTCTATTGATATATTTCATATGCCTTATGTTAAAAAATAATAATTCATTTACTAGAATCTTTAATAAGAATAAAAATAAATCACTGAAAGTTTAGAATTAAAAACTTATTCACAATTTAAAAACTGATTATACTTACTGGAAATATATCAGCATAAGTAGTGTTCTGACAGAGGTTATACTAAAATTGAAAATTTCAATTGAAAATTAATACTTTATTAATTCAATTAATTATAAATATTTTCAAAATATTGGAAATAAACAGAAAACGGTTGGACAAAAATTTTATTTGCTATTTAACTGATATACTGTTAAAATATTTTTGTTAAAAAAACATCACATAAATATCTTTAAAATTTCAGATTAGGAAATTTAACCACAAAACTATAAAAAAGTAATTATTAAGAAAAGGAAATAATTTCAAACCAATGAGTTATAAACTTCAGTTCAAATGAGTATAAAATTATTATTTTTAAAGAAATTTCAAAACCAAAATTTAAGCAATGAAATTTATTATTAGCCCATAAAAAGTATTTTTCTTTTTAAATCTGCTTTAGCAATGCTTTAAATCATTGGTCTTTCCGCCTTGAAATTTTGAAAGCATCATATACTTATTTTTCTAACAAAGCAATGCATATATAGTTGTTGATCCAGATATTGGAATTAGACTGTACAACATATAAAATTTTGCTTAATACATTAAGCCTATTTTTTAATTCTTGTTTAATAACCCAAGCAAGTTCAGTTAATTAGCTTTTCCTTGTTATTTTATGCAAGAAATTAGATGGGATAATTTAGGGTGAAAAAACACAGAAATAAATTCTTTTTCAGCTTATGATAATCAGTTATGGTGGCAGGAAAGTAAGCTAAGGCATAGTGACCCTGTATATGGAGTTAATATGTTGAATCAGTTACAAAAGAACGATGTTTAGACCAATTTAGTTTGCTGTTTACTTTTATAAGAAATACAAAATATTCAATTATATTAAGTATAAAAAATACTTACTACATCAGCATTAGATTTACCATACAATCCTTTAGCAAATACAGAAACCACAAATATATTTATTATTAATGAGACGAATAATGCAACTGCAGATTCAATGAAGTAATACATATTAGCTTCTCTGACTTTCTTCTGATTTCTTCTATCCACTTCCCTAGACTATAAGAAAATCAAAGAATATTTAAGAATAGGTGCATTCATAAATTTCATCTGCTAAAAATGGCCCCCAATTGTTTAAATTTGAGCATTTGTGAAAACTTCTAGCAACTCAAAAGATTGAACTAATCTAGTTCAATTTTGAACAAAGCATTTGAAAACCATTTTCCTGCCCTAGTTTATAAATGTACCCAATATTTAAGATCATAAAAAGAAATATAAATAAGTAATGAGATAAAGTGCTTTTTTTTGCAAAAATAATTTCAATGTAGCATAAATAATTCTTAGAACACACAAATTTAACTTATTACAAGAAATAATAGAATGAAAATAATTGAAAATAATAACCCTTTTAGAATGAAAATAATTTTTTCGTGCAAGTCAAGTGCGATTTTAGGGAAAATGAAACAGATTAAGTAATAGTTTCTAAAACATTTATCAGAATAAATTAAATCATAATTATGATAATTTGAAAATGTTAAAATAATTTTGGGTAAAGTTGCTTATTCTCAAGCAAATTAGAACAGCGAGTAAGTCACTGAAAAATGAAAATTTTATTGCTTCAAGTCAGTTTTATAAACAAACATCACATTTAGTACTAAGCAGCAAAAACTTATTGTCATGTTGGAATATGCAAAACATATTTCCTAGCTTTTAAAATCTAAATTATTATCTTATTTAATCCCTTTCTCAGTAAATAAAAATCATTAACATAATCAGTCATCTTTTAATAGCACTACCTTGAGTTCACTGCAATAATCTGTTGTATGATTGCAGAAAGCTGCTGTATAGTTGCTAAATGTTTTGATAAGACTTTCTCACACTTTTTTATCTGACAACACATCTAAAAGTGTATGGCAAAGAAAAAGAGCCTTGGCAGTAAATTAAATCAATTAATAGACAAGGCATGGGATTCCTTTAACATTCTTTGGCTAAAACTATTCTAATAAATGCATAACACTCGCAGTTTTGATTTCTGGGTGGACGGAGGTGTCCCGAATGTGTTCCATATTTTTTGGTTGCCATCAGCATAAAATTAATAAATCATACCGGTACTCTTCACCTATAAAATATTTTTGAATCCCGAACTTAAATGTATATTTAATTTTATAGTAATATATTTATTTTTACTCCATATTCATTTTTACAGAAGCTATTACATGTGTTTTTCTTTTTTTAATCTACTTTTATTACATTTTTGACTTTGATTGTTTTCTAAATTAAGAGTTTAGAACTAAAAGTGTTGTTTCATTACTATGATGCTATTCCATATTACCCACATTACACTAAATTTTAGGATAAACTAATTTGAATTGCCGTCTTAACTTATTAACCATTTTACAATAATTATTTTTTGGTGTAAATTACTTTAATATGCTGTTTAAAAATTATCATTAAAGAGATTCATTAAATGACTTGTTGCTGAACGATCAGCTTCATGCACAATGTGCTGATCGTGAATTACATGCACAAATCATATCAATCTGTTTGGCAAGTGAAAATATTCAATAATGGTTGTGATCCCATCAAATTTGCTAGGACAATATACCTTAAATTTTAAATGTTATTTTTAAAAAATGATTACTAAGGGTAAGCAAACAGAATTATTTGTAGTACATGCATTCAAAGGAATAATTTAAACTTTTGTAGGAAAAAAAGCTTTTTTATGCTAAGAAACAACAATTATTGTGAAACAATCATCATGGTTGGTGAACAGCAGATACCACCTGTTTGCTGCTGCACTAGAAGAAGCTCTTTTTAGAAAGACTATCTTAGATTTCAAATCAAAGTGTATTTTTAAGTTCTTAAGTACAAAATATATATACAAAGCTAAGTGTTTAAGAACGAACACCTTCTTTCGGTAGCATATCTTGGACTGAATGAGTTATTTAAGCATAGTGATGAAGAAGCAATAACAGAGTAGGGGTTTTGGACGTCCTAAACTGGTTTTGGACAGGTCATTTGGGTTTTACTGTCTTAAACTGTCTTAAATGTGTCCAAAACCTTGAACATTGGTAACATGCAAGGTAAAAATTCTATATGTGTAACCATTGTACACATAATAATTACATATATTAATAAATATTTGATACTTTTTATATAATTTGTTTTAACTTATTAAAGGAAAATAAGATAATAGGAAAAGATTTATAAATTTTGAAGCTCCACAATTCATTGAACAACAAAAGTGAATACCTTATTCCTTAAATATGAATAAATATGCTTTTAATACTGATAAATTATGTTTTTGCATAAGGGTAAATAATGCAATATTAAAAATAATCATAAACATTTTTAATAAAACCAAAACTTGCCTTCCTTTTGTTCCTTATTCAAAAACTAACATTTTATTTTTCACAATGTTTTTTTTTTTTTAAATTGTCACAAATTGAGTGAATAGGTTTTGGACAGTTTAAGACAGTACTGGACAAAGGGGTTTTGGACAAGACTGTTTAAACGCTGGTTTAAACCGCCGATTAATCAATTCTGTCCTAAACCTTGCCAACTCTGAGCAGTAAGTCGACCTGCTATCAGTTTCAACAAAGTATGAAGATTAGCATTTACAACTGACTGTGAAGAAGAAAAATAGATACAAGTCGAAGCACAGAGTTCCCTAGGAAACTTACAACATCATGAAAAAGTATACAAGCTAACTCACCGCAGCTTGAGTAATCAATAAGATATGCACTAGCAATGACATCACAACATCCGAGGTATTTATAAATAAAACAGTTGCGTCGTGAACCCTTTCACACTCTGCATTTCATTAAAATGACGAAACAGTAACAAGTTTAGTTGTATACAAGCTTTTCCTTAATTAATGCTTAGGTAGTTATACAAAATATTTACTTGACAATATATTTGATGAAATACACGATTAAAATAAAGTAACAGTAAGATAAATAAATTCAAATTGATAATTAATCATTTCTAAGAAATGTGCTGAACAAGTGCAATTTTTAACTCTAATGCAGTCTTTAACAAAGCTATTGTAACAATATTATCTGATTGAAAACTTCATTCGCTTCAGAAATAAACAAATCAGAAATAACAGTTATTTCATAGCTGTTTGTTTCTGAAGCAAATGAAGTTTTCAATCAGATAACATCTTGTCCCTTCAGTTTCTTCGGATTATTTATTCAATAATAACTTTTATTTATAATAAAACCACTCAACAAAGCTTTGAATGTTTCTCTGCATAAGAAATGGAAAGTTTACCTTGACAAGAGCTGAATGAAGGTATAAATTATGTGGCATAATCACAGCTCCAACAATACCAACAGCCTGTAAAAGTGCTTGATTATCACAACCTCTACACATTGGAACTATCAAACCTTCAACAACTTCACCTTGATTAGGACTAGCTACCACATACTGTAAGAAAAAAAATTAGCAAATCAATAACTAGAAAATAAATTATACTTTATTCTACAATTTATCGAATTTAAAGTTTATATTTTATTTTCAAACTGAAAACAATGTGCGTCTGTTATTTAATGTTATTAAGATGTCATCAATTAGATAACTTTATTTGAACAGCTAATCATCTTTTTCTCAGTAATGTAATCGAAATCTTAAATTGAGGAAAAGGACAAAGGACAGATTAAAAGAAATTTTTCAAGAAGGGTTATTGTAATAAGGGACAGCAGAAATGTAGTAAATATATATATCACTCAAATCATCAAAGAAATTTAAACAAAATTATTTAGATTTGTTATTTCCATTTCAGATAAAAAATTTTAAAAAAACATAAGTTTCTTTTATTTTAAAAGAAGCAATTTATTTTAAGACAAAAGATTATATTCAATTTTTATTTAAGCAAAAAAAAAATTATTTAAGAGAAAATGTTTTTTTTTTACTTGTACAAAGTCCTTTGAATTATATACTGAAGCATTTTATATATAATTTTTTATTATTCAAGAATGGTCTAAACCCATGACTAAGAGTTAACACAATTTAGTTACATAATGTATAGATATATATATATATGTGTGTGTGTGCGCATGCGTGTAACATAAAAAGCTTCAATTAATCTTTTTATGTTATTTCTTTTCTGTAAATCCTTTTCTTTTAGTTTTTCATTCTAATAGAAATGCTTTCTCATGCTTTTAAATTCACATCATGTCCTTAAATCTATTTTTGGCTTAAGTATGCATCAATTAAAAGTAAGACATCTTTCCCCTTTGCGGGAATCGAGAGACCTATTTAATAAACCAATTACAATTACTGAGATTTTCCACTTTCACTAAATTGAAACATTTTACGGAATTGCTTTGCAAGATTTTCCCTAACATATAATCTAGAAGCACAACTTTTCGTGTCTTCTTTTATAGCTGCTCTCTGTCTAATAATTAATAAATGAATTCTGCAACCTCCTTCCCTGCCTAAGACCTGTTTTAATCCTTCCACTCGGCAACGACGTTATATATATATTTATGGAATATTAGGTTTTAATGGATACTTTTGGATTGTGTGTGCAGATTATTTTTTTATCTTACTCTGCAGCTATAAGTGAAAAATGTAAATAATTTACCTCATATCCAAATGTAACTGCCATCACTGTGATTAGAAATGCAAAAAAGAACTCCAATTTTCTCAGACCATATTTATCCAAAAGTAGAAAAGTGAAAGTATCAACAATTGTTATCAATACTCCAGCATAAAGAGGAATTCTAAAACAAAATAAAAAACTAAGTAAAATATTAAAAATAATTTCTAGTTAAGAATTCTTAAACAAAAATACCTGCAAATAAGGCAAACTAAAACAGACAATGAAAACTAACAATTAAAAGAGTATAGTGTAAAAATGCTTAATATGACATCTGGAGAAAAAAATTTGGGAAAGATCTTGTTTCAGTCTTATTTAACAACACAAATATGTATAACAAAGTCCTTGCATTTTGCTGATCTCACTGGATGAAGGTTAAAAGTCTTTGGATGTTTTGAAGTAGAAAAAGTTTTAAGTGTATTTGGCTTTGATAAGAGACCGACGAGAACTAACTTTAGAGACAACAACAAATTAAACTGCCAATAATATGAATGCCACGAAGAGTGTCAAAGATATTTTGCTAATTGGAAGCTTGCTTATAAAAATAAAAGCATAATCTTTTTCTCTTATTATCGAAGCATAAAGTTAAAAGCTTATTTGTTTAAATTTAATAAAATGTAACTTAGAACCTACACTTCCTATGCTTAACAATTTAATGTGTGCAAAGAAAACAAACTAAATTTTTAATAAAAAGAGAAAGGAATTTCAAAAAATTATTTCTTTATTAAAAGTTCATAAATCATTATTTGGTAAACATAATTACTGCTTTTGGAATGATTTTAGCACTTTTTCATGTAATTTTTAGCCTCCTTATATTTGAAATTAAATATTAATGCATAATAAATGAAGGATGGATGTGAGCAAAAACATTTAAACACTTAATTATGCAAAAATCATACAATCAACAATGAATAAAACTTTTAAATGTCTAAACAATTAAAACTTTTATCTGTCTATAATTGTAAGAATAAATCTAGCACAAACTTCTTTCAGAAGTGTAATAAGAGCAAATTAGTTAAATTAATTAATAAATCTTCTAGACCTATAAAATTAGTAATCATTAATTTTCCTGACCTATAAGACTGTAATAACTATATATTTTAGAAAATAATTATAATTACGAAAATGAAAATAAAATTATGCTTATCATCTGTTAAATTTAGTAACAATCATAGAGTGCAAAGGATAAACTATTTTCTGAATTTGAATTATTTACTTTTATAGTTAAAAGTATCAACTTTTTTTTCTATGAAAAAAATATATATAAAGCTAAACCGAAATTAGAAAAAAATATTTATATTAAAAATTAATGAATAATTTTTGTAATAGAGTAATTCCAAATCCTACTTTGCATTTTATAACAATGTTCCCAGAAAAACTCTTTATATAAAAGGGAGAAAAAAAGTCTTGACTCTAAGCATTAGTTCTAACGGATTCGTCATATTGTAACGATCATTTAAAACAATTTTTTTAATATAATATTAAGCATAAATGTTTAAACAATCAAAGGGTTTGAAGAAATATAATGTTAAAACTCATTTTCAAATTGTTCCAGAAAGCAATTATGGAGAAAAACACCACAGTTTCCATGTAAGCATTTAGATATATCTGTGTATAAAGTAATATGTAGATAAAAAGTCTAGAAACAAGGAAGAGTTTCACCTAAAAATGTCCCCTTTGAAAAAAAAGTGAGGCAGATCACCATATTGCCCCATATCTATCAATTCAAATGAATCTACACATTGAATTGTATTATTATGATATACATTGGTATCTTTATCTACAATATGTTAAACAATTTTTTATAATGAGACTGTTACAAATTAAAAAAGAAATAAAGTACGATTTCATACAGTATAATAATATTATGAACTCAATTAAAGAGAAATTAACACATTACAACATAGAAATTTACTCTATATATATATATATANATATGTATATATATATTCAATGATTTTTATTTTTAAAAAAAATTAATAAATATGCATTTCAAAAATAAAACCTACCCTTTATTAGAAAGGAGATAAAAAGCTATAGCAGTTCCAATAACTTCTTGCATATCTGACCCAACAATGGCTATTTCAACCATTATCCACAATAAATAACGAGGAACTGGAGGGAATCTTCTTTGACAAACTTCCGCTAAATGAAGGCCAGTCACAACACCTAGCCTAGCTGCCAACCTCTGCATAAGAAGTCCTAAAAATGTTGCCCACATGAGAACCCAGAGCAAATTGTACTTTGCAGCAGCTCCAGATTGCAAATCAGATTCAATATTTCCTGGGTCTAAGTAGGCTATACTCATCAGAAATCCTGGTCCCGTGAAAGCCCATAGTTTGCGAAAGTTAAATTTATACTGGAAAAAAAGAAAGAAAACATTTAAAAGTCACTCATTGTAACGAAAAGAAATTAATACAATGAAACCTCTCTGGAGAGACCACTCTCCGTTCCACAGTAAAACAGTCATTGATGGAACTTAGTCATTCTTAGAGGATACCTCAATTGACTTCAAAATTTTTATCGAAGGTACATGATTTTTTGAGAATATTTTATTTTTAGTCAGAGTTCTTTTCATGGTGTGGAAATGCCACTTCTGTTGTCATCATGAAAAGGTAGATTCTATGAATAAAATTTAGTGTCCATAAAAATGATCCCAACTGATATAATTATGTGTAAAAACAAATGTACCAATTATGAATAAAGCTATATTAAATAAAGGAAAAATTACGCTTTTTGTTAAAGTTTGTAATTAATTTTATATCATAAAAATAAGTTAGCTTTAAAAGATGAGAAGAAGTTTTTCTGAGATGCTTTTTTTTTTCTAAAATAAATTTCAACTTTCAAAGTAAATCATTGATAGCATTGTCTTTAGTGCACTCCTGCAACATGATGTATCGTCAAAAAAAAGCTCTCTAAATAAGAGCCTCAGACAAATATTTCAAATGCATTTTAATTTACTTATTTGTTTTGTTAAATTTTTTGTTTTGATATTTTTCTTGTTTCCTTATTTTACCGTTTCCGCATTTGGTGCAGATGTTTTCCGATCTCTGGGAGAGGGTTTCAATGCTCCCTCCAAAAGGTTTTCTTCATCTAAGTCCATGGAAAAAATTATGTGCCTCCCAAAAGTGGTCATAAATGGAGGTGGTCCTTCCTGGAGGTTACAGTGTATTGTGAAGTAAATGTCAGTAATATTAATACAATTATAAACAATGATCAAAATAAATTAAATTATAAAAATATAAAGATATAAAAAATATATTAAAACAAGAATACCTATAAGCAATTATAGGAATTTATCAATTTTAGTTTTTATAAAAATTTATTGATTTAAATTTAGGTTGCTTTTATTTATAAATGCAACAATTTTAATAACAAAAACATAAATTCCACGACCTTATTTTTAGTTCCCTAGATCGAAAATGTCATTTTTATGAAGGTGTGAAGAGGAGATAAGTTTACGTTTAAGAAATTAAGAGCAAATCACAATGATTTAAAAAAATGCACACAAAAAAAGTGAGCAAAGAAAAACATATCAATACACAATATATACATATATATACATACTACATACAATATAGATTTTTAAAAACTTGTAACATACTTGAAAACATATGAATCATCTAAATGACAAACTCATTGAGTATTTTCCAGATTTATTTATTTATTTTATTATAAAAAAGAAAATAACTTCTAGCATAGACTTAACAGAAAGACTATAAATGTTCCATTCTGTTATCCTGAGGGAAACAAATGAAAACAGCTATTACAGAAGTTATTTGTCTTTCAAAGAAAAATAATTTAAATAACACCAACCAAGTTTTGCACTGAAATAACTATATAATAAAAACTACTGTAGAAGGAATATCATAAAGAACTTACATCATCTGTTTCAGGTATTGTTATTCTTTCTTGAAAATATGTATCAAGTTCTTTACTTTTTAAATTCGAAGTTTCATTTACATTGCCTTCAGCACCATCTCCTTGACTTCTAATTTCCACGTCTAATTTAAAAATAAATATATATAATTAAAAATAAAGAAAACATTCAATGAAAAACTTCATTTTAGAAATAATAAAATCTTTCATTGGCAGGATGTGAATTTGGTTAGCAATACACTTCAAACAAGATAAGTCAGCATTGTTAAAATATAGTAAAATAACAATAAGAAACTTATGAATTTCAAAAATAATATTGAAAATTATATGTACGACAGTATAAAATGTCAAAAATAAGACTGAGAAAAGGTAAAATTCAGGAAATAACTTATCAATCATCTTTAAAACGTCACTTATTTCTGAGTGTAATAACTTCTTAAATCAATAAATAAAGTTTTTAAAAGTGTATTAAAAAACAAATAATAAAAGAAACATTAAATATTTAGATATTTTTGCTACCCTATAAGCTTTGTTCAGTGGAATTTTATGTTTAATAAACATGCAAGGTCGAAAACTTAAACATCAGAAAACTATTCAAGAAACATTTGCAGGAAAAAAAAATAGTGAAGAAAAAAATAACACCAAGACTAAAAATAAAACAAAAATAAAACAATGCATCAAAAGTATTAAATTCATTCATTTAATGTAGATTGTAATGTCACATAATAAACAAAAACTAAGTTTGATGTAAAGGTAGTTTAAAAAATGAAAAATCACAAACAGCTTTTTGAGTTATGGAACCTGCATAATGTGTTTCACCCAAGGAATTCAAGAAAAAGAAAATGGCAGTTTTAGTTATGAAGCATAAATCTGGGTTGATTTAAAGTCCTTTATAAAAAGGCCCTACCAATAAACTCAAATTTATAAAAACCACCACTATAAAAAAATAAATAGTTATAAAACTACCCATACACAAAGTTCCATTTTTATATATTATATATATATATATTAGTTGAACATTAGTAGTCGTAAACCCAATTTTTGGGTTTACGACTACTAATGTTCAACTATGTAATCTTGTAATTTTGAACCCAATCCAGAAGACAAGGGAACTCTTGGATCAAGTATTGGGAGAAATTTGCCTTCATGGAGGACTTTTAGATGGAACTAAATCACATTTGCATTACAAGACCACGAGAACCTCCCACGGTTAGCCTGACGTCAAGGGGACTCTAACCCATGATCCATCTACCACTGAGGATATTTCACGTCAGCACTGTGGTCAGTGCAAGCCGGATGCGAATTCCTTTCGACTGGGATTCGAATCCGGTTTACTTCAATGGAAGGCGAACACTCTATTTCCTGAGCCATCGCACCTCAAAGTTCCATTTTATAAAAGTATTTTGCATACACTTGATCATTAAACAAATGTAAATTACTAAAATGTAGTGATTGCTGAAATTGAATTTTATTACAAGCTTAAGAAACTTTCATAAAAATAATTCTATTTTTCATAGTAATATTTTTATCAAAAAATTTAACCCTGAAATTAAAACTGGGATCGGCACCTAAAAACACTAAAAAAAAATAATAATAATTGAAAAATCTAAATTATAATTCAATACATAGATATTCATGGGTATATACACAAGAATTATCTGCATCCTAGAAAGTTAAATAAACAAGCCACAATCAACTACAAAAAATATAATAATTTAATTAATTGAAACTCGGAACAGATTCAAAAAATCACAATTTACAAAAAACACAGAATGGTACACTGTATTTTTTAGTAATATGCAGATAAAATAATAAAAAGAGAAAAAATATATTTACCAGGATCGTAAGCTTGGTTATCCATATTGAGCAAAGGTACACTAAAATATATATATATATATTCAGATTTAACATATGTGGTAGAGATATATTTAATTTTAAAATTAGAAAAAATTATGGTTCAATAACAATTAATCTATATTTTATTATAAAATTAGTTTAATTTTTGGCAACTTTTAAAAGCATATCATATTTCTCATATCATACTAAAAGCATATCATAAAGCATATCTTTTTTCGTTATATTAAATTGTTAAGAGACATTTGCGCCTAAATTTTAATAAAAAGTAAAGTAAATCAGTAAAAATTAATATATTTTAAATGAAATATATGTAAATAGAAAAAATTTTTCTCACAAAAATATTCTAGTTTTAAAAAAGGAAAAAAAAGAATTTCAGGTTTCTACAGTTCTTTTAGGAAAGTGCCTTTGCAAGAACTATTACCAAAATTTAAAATGAACCACAATAAAATAATTTGTAGTGATTCCTAGGAGCAGTAATTGATGTGAGAAATTGATTGGTTGTTTTTTTATTTTGTGTTTGGATCTGTCACAGAAAAGCAGATTCCATCATAATCATGAACATTCTGTATTGTACTTTCTCCTTTAAACTCATTATATTAAGCAGGGTGTGTAGCCAAATTTTTCAACAAAAAATAAGCACCTCTTAAGTACCTACTTTTTAAGCAATCGAAAAAAATTTTAAGCACTCTAAAAAACTATCATAATTAGGATATGAGGACTAATATTTTTTTTCCCTTCATATTGTTGAAAGTTCTTCATATATATGTGTTACCAAAATGCAAAATAATTTTCTAAGTTACATGATCATGATAAAATAACTAGTTTCTGTCAAAGAATTTTTTTCGTGATAATATTATTCACCATAAAAACAATTAAGCACAATTTTAAATATATTCAATATTGAGTGAATCATTCCATTTTTTAAATTAATAATTACTTTACACAATTATGTAATAAAAGTTTATTCAAAATTATAAATAGGGTGACCTGGGGTGATTCCTGATCAAAAAATGCAAACATCTATTTCGTGAAAAAACTATTCAAGATAGAATTTTAATATTTACTGGAAGTTTGAGGCTATATGAGATGAGTCCTATGCTACCTTCTTTTGTTTGAAAATCTAATTAGAATTTAAAAGATTTTAAATTTTTAGTGATCAGGAATTATGCCTTCTCTTGATCATTTCTGGGGTAATTCCTGATCACTTCTGGGGTAATTACTGATCACCAGTTTTTATAGTAAACCGGCTATTTAAAAATAATGATACAATGGTAATTAACAAATACGACATCAAAATCAAACAAATAAAGCAAAAATATATGTTTAAGCAGCTAATAAAACAATTTATTCAAAAGCAAGAATAAAGATTAACACTTTAAATTTTCCAAAAATCTTTGCATCGTGGCATACATTTTAGGCAAGGAACCAACTCATTCTCATGTTCTGCTAGAATATAAGAAAGAGTTCCCACATGGGTTACTTTTGCTGGATTTTTTAACTTAATTGAGAGTGTAAAGTTAAGTAAGGTATGTCTGGCAGCAGCTCTCACACTGAAATTTTCATTTTCAATCCTTAAAAGAAATTCACTCATTTTGCTTTTTAGAAGCTTAGCATCCCTTTTTAGGCTTATAATTTCTCACCATATTTATATTAGGCTAATTTATAAACTTAAAAATTATTTTAACAATATACACACATAAAATTAAGATAGAAGCAAGGTAAGACAAACCAGATATGGTGCAAATCAGAACACATTTGTCTTGTAAAATGTATCGTATAGTTAAAAATAAATTTTGTGATTGCAGTTAAAATATATTTTATAGTTTCTCCACTTAATAAATATGAACTGTTATTTAAGACAAGACAATTAACTATTTATCAGCTATTTTTTATACTATTTATAAGAAGAAATGACAATGATCAGGAATTACCCCAGTGATCAATAACTACCCCCTCTGTAGGGGCAACATTTGATATAGTTTCCTATAATCAATTATAATGTTTACAGTAGATGTGAAACAAACAAAAGCTTACATTATTTTTATATCAAAGAAAAAATTTTAGCAAGTTTTTTTTTACCAAAAAAAACATTTGATTTTAAATCAAACTACATTGAAATGGTAATATGGGAGTCCGTATCGAGATCTGTGGCAGAATTATCTCCAAGTCTTGGAAACTTCCGGGCAGTGGCCCGCGAGAAATTGAAAAAAAAACATCACAGAAAGCAAGCAATTCGAAAGGTATAACTCGTAGCCACCCCCTGGGTAAACATCTACAAATTTTTTTAAACAAAATTTGCAAGTTTAAAATTTATTTGGCCCTTTGGCATGACAGATCACGATATGAAATTATCTCCTGGTAATAATTTATAAAACTAAATTTAAGGCCCCATTAATAAAAAGGAATTCAAATAAAAAAAATTGATTGCAAAGTTCTTTAGCAACACATTTAGAAACATATTTTTTTAGTGATAAATTTTTTAGCAATTTTAAAATCAAACTGAAAGTTTCCCCAGGGCTGCCTGAATTTTCTCCTTCTGAAACTCTGCACCCCTGGTAAGGCATACAGACAAGTAAAATCTTTCAGCTAGACTCACATACTAGTTAATAATTATTTTATTTTCTACCTGCTGAGTAAGAATTTTAGTTCATTACCAATAACATGAAACAGATTACTGGGTAATCATTATTTTTAATAAAAAATATATTTTTTCACATATTTTAATTTACTTGCAGAAAACAACATATAAATATCATTCATTTCTTTAATGCTACCTTCTATAAACTGTGGGGGTTTTTTTTTGGCATTTTGCCACAAGTTACACAGCTAAATTCAATTTTAAAAAAAGGGAAACGAATAAAAACAAATTGCTCTTTTCAAGAACTATTTTAAAATTTTGTTTATCTTTAGTTATTTAAAACAATCAAGTGATATTGAAGTGAAAAATTATTTGAATAAGAATCTAGCTCCAAAAATGAACTTTGCTCTATCATATATATACAATATATGTGTGTAATATAGTTATAAAAAACTCAAAAATAAAAAGCCATTTCACATTATTATATAAATATTATCATGCATCATGTAACTTCAGAAAATTTCAGAAAAGCAGAGATGTTAAAATCTAAAACATTCAAAATTTGATAAATAATTTATCAATAGATGCATCTAATATGTATACCATATAGGATATAAATCTCACTAACAATACCACATCAAGTTTAAAATCTAAGTTAAATTAAGTTTAATACTTTAATATTTTTTCTCCCCAACTGTTTAAAAACTTCAGTGCATTATTTTCGATTTTAAAAAAATATATTATTCTATTTTATGAACACTTTAAGAATATAAATTCCTTAAAATGAGCAGTCATATGTCCACCATTAGGATATTATTTATAACTTTTATCATTCAACTTAAAATGATAAGAAATATCAATAGGTCATTAATGCAATCACATAAATATTTAAAATTAAAACCTACTTTGAGTCCAAAAAAAATATTTTTACAATAAAGCAAGACAGAAAAATTAAAAAAATATAGTAAATTTTAAAAGAAATATTAAATTTAAAGAAATATTTTGTAAACAATATTAAATAATCTCAAATGGACATAGCCTTTAAAATACAAATAAAAGAATATACAATAAGGCAACGAAAATCTGGGAAATTCCTTGAAACGTAGATAAAATTTTTAAAATAATTATTACTCATAAAAATTAGAATTCAACTTTTTTTCCTCGTTGCAGAACATATCAATTTCTGAAAACACTAAAACGAAATTATTATTGATATTTTCTGTGAATATTCTATAAATTCTATATTCATTTTAATAAGGTTTGTATCAATGAAGATAATAAAATAAATTTACTCACGACTACAAATAAATTTGGCTGAGTTTTGTTTACAAAAGTTAAGGACCAACGACCAAGTAATAATTCCAGTTGCACGGCATGCTATGACAATAGTTCTGAGAGATTATAGGCAACCTGTTAGCAATAGAGTTAAGAACAACTGAAAAAATATATTTTAGTTCGAAATATTCTAATCAATCCATTAATATCTAGAAATGAGGGAGAGAAATACATGACTGTGACACATCAGGTCGGAGATGGGAATCTCCATGTTTACAAGTGACGCAACGTGTGTAATCAGCTGTCGGAGCTGGCTTCTGTCTCTATTTTAATCTTTATCTTCTCATTGTATTCTTAACAATCGGAGATTGAAGGTCATCAAAGATATTTATCGGACTCTAATATTCTGTTATGTGTCGATAAAAGATCTATATAGCTTACAATATAACAAGAATTATAGCCTTCTTTTAAGTACGAACAAGAATTATTGCCTTTTTTTTAACCGTCTAAAGATGAATCGTGAGTTTAACTTGTAGCTAAATTCAGAAATGAGCTGATTAAATTTGATTTAACAAAAATTTTAAAAGGTAAATTATTATTACTATTTATCACTAAACACCTGTAACTCAAAAGAGTTAAGGAAACCCTGATAATAAGAGAATCAGAGCAAACTTTCGAATACCAGTGAAAATGTTTGCTAGCATACTGTTTTTTGAAATGCCTCGATCCTTGGCCAAAGAATACCTAAAGAGGCCTTTTCATTTCAATTCTAACCTTCAGTAAGGATAGGTTCGAAAAGGGACGAAATATATTGCACCTCCAAAACCCGTTTCACTGTCTCCCCTACATTTTTTGTGGGGGTGCGTGTGTTAAGTAACCCGAAACTAATCACTGTCACAGAAGGGGAATTGCAACCTGCGGGGGTCAACTAGCTTTCAAAAGATATCAGAAGAAACTCACTCTTCATCTTATATTATGCTTTTTCTCTTTCTAAGAAAAACTTAAAAAATATTTTTTTTAACTCTAAAACGACTTTATTTATTTTCAAAATAGTTTTATCATTTTATTTAACATGCACTTTTTCTAATTATATCTTNAAAATATTTTTATTAAGTAAAAAGGAAAAATATTAAGAAAAGGGAAAATATCGTAGTACATTCCTATATAACTGAAAAGAGGAGGAGAGGGAAGGGAGAAGGGCTAAAAGCATGAAACCAGTCTCTCCCCAGATGGCGTATTCGAGTGTTGCGATCGCGAATAGCTCTAGATTGTCTGGGATACATCCTCGAAGATGATCCGCTGAAGACATATCACCACAAAGGGATCTCATTTGTCAGGCCACTTCCTCAATTAAGACATACATATGAAAAGGGAAGGAAATTTTCTCCTGATCCCTGTATCCATGGTACTGCTAGCGTGGAGGTAGCGGGTTCAAATCCCGCTGTTACCCTGGATGTATCTTCGTGCTGTTCTTTTCACATTATTGTGTTATCTGTACCTCTACTTGATAAAGGTTTATAAGCCTTAATTGAGCACAAGCCTGGAAATGTATGACTGATAAATAAATACATGGAACTACGCAGCCACCAACCACAGTGCTTTCGATTCCACAGATTTCACGACCACGTTTATCGCATGTACTCGGTGTGTCTTAGCGGAGTCTAGGATAGAACCCCGAACTCCGGCCCCTCCGAACCGGAATCTCTAACCACTGTGCTATCACGGCCCCGTCTTTGAGACAGAATTCTACTATCTGCTCTATAGTTAGTCGTCGTAAAGATATATTTTCACTGCATATGAATTTTTCACTTGTCATAAAAATGGCCACAAAGAATAGAGCCCTAGACAACGAAGCCGCTAATTCATTTTTATTGTATTCGGACACATTGTTCAAAAAACTAATAAATCAAGTAAACTGAATAAGCTTTATAGTCATTTCATATTTCCATTATTTTTACTTCTTTGATTGAAAGATTTAAAGTTCAGTTAAAAAATTTTGCTGGTAACTTTAAAATTTCACAAAAATTCATTTTTTTATAGTTCCAATGCCCACACCACTTATGGCACCCCATGGTACTTAACAGGTGGTATTCTTGCGACCTCTCTTTTTCGAGAGGACCATCTGGGTGGATCAACGCCACCACCTTAATAACAGGAGAAGGATAGATAGAACAGAAAGAAAGAGAAATTTCACCCATGCTCGAGGTGGGATTCGAACCCGGGGCTTTTCTGATGTGTGGTCAGAGACCTGACCACCATACTGCCTGGTCGGCTAATACATATTAGTTTATTGTTGAAACCTTAGGAATATTTGTTGATAGATGCGCTGCGAAATGTTTCTGGCCATAAGTATAGAATGCAATAACATAACAAAGGATGGCATATACCGATTATATTTTGTAAAAAACAATTTCCTATAAATGTCAGTTTGTACACAAACATCATCACCTTGACTTTGAACTTTTACTCTTTTCATATGAAACCTTCAATTTCTCTTTTGTACTTTTAAACCTATAATCAAAAACTTTGAATTTTGTTCTTTTTTCTTATAATATTATGAAACGCTGAATTATTTTCGTTTTTCGGAGATTATTTTAAAGATAGCAGACTAAACTTTTCTCTTAAAGAAAAAAAATTAGTATTAAAATCCCTTTAAAAATGAAATTTATTAAAGTTTCTTTAGTCTGATATCACTGCCAAAAAAAAGAGGGAAAAAAATTCTTATGCATGAAAGTTTCTCATATGCTGCTTAAAATTCAATGATTTCTGGAAGAAACTTTATATTTCTCTCTCAGAAGCTTTTCCTAATAATAGCATTGTTTAAGATAACAGACGATAACAAAATAATGAAAGCGATAACTCGTTTTGATAAAGAAAATGCATTATAAGGAATTTCTATTACGATAAGATTTCAATAATAAAGTGAATACTTTTCGGAAAGGACTTCAATGAGACCGTCATATTTTCACCGTTACAACCTAGGGGGAAAAAAATCGGCTTTCATATAAAAATTTTTAGAATTCCTTAAGTTATTATTATTTATTTTTTAAGAGTAAAACTAAATGCTCTATCTTTTAAATGAGAATTTTATAGCAATGAAGAAGTAATGTGCGTGAGGTGCATCATTAAGTTAGATACTAATTTTTAAGTGAAAGGGGATTTAATTTGGCCATGATTTTAAAAAAACTAACATTTTGATTTATACGTTCAACATTTAATTTAAAAGGTTTCTCAGATTTCAAGGTATATTAGGATATCAGGAAAGTGATTATTCTACAGAATTTACACAACAACACGTATAACGTAAAAGTACTAATATCAGGGGCATTTATTGGATATTTAGATGCTTAAGTCTAGAAAATGATTAGTAATTAAGTAATTAGTGATTAGTAGAGCCCTGATTTTGATGACCCAAAAAATCTCAATTAATGCCCTTAAAAAGTGCAACAAATGCCCTTAAAAATGCGAAAATTGCGTTAAAAATGCCTTATGACATGACTTAAATAAAGTAAAAATATTGAACTAAAGCAATGTTTTACTCTTTAAAATTATTATGACTCATTTCAAAAAATATAAAGCAATGCAATACTTGTTCTACGTTCATTAAAGTTTGAAAAATATGTTTTATATCCTAAAATAACAAATAAAAGGAAAATATATTGACTCTAAAACATTTTCATTTTGTATAAAAACTTTAATGAATATAACAACTTCCATCTCATAATATTACTAAACATCAGAATTACGTTGGATTATTAAATTTTTTTTTGATATTTCGAAATGTAAACTAGCGCTTCTTGTCTGAAAGTAAATTTTTATACCTGGAGAAGCTTCTTTCAACGTCTACTGATGTTATTGGTGCCTACTTGAAAAAGACGGACTCACTTACTGACAATTATTCTTCAATTTGAAAAGATGTTGCTTCACCTGTTAATATCCTAGAGATTTTCTTCATTGTTTGGAAGCCAGTGTAATAATAAAAAATTATAACAAAATAATAAAAATTGGAAAAAATTAACAAAAAATTTAAAAAATGCTTTAAAATGCAAAATTCGCCGAAAAATTTAAAGAAAAATGCCCTATAAATATAAAAAAATGCTCTAAAGGACAAAAAATGTCCAAAAATGCAAAAGTCATCAAAATCCGGGCCTTAGTGATTAGTAAGAGGAAATGAACCTTTTTTTCAATCCGCCATATGCTTTCAAAAGTATGCTTGACTAAAGTATCGTAAGATTACATAAATTTCTACAGCACTTAGTTGCATAATATTTTACGTTATAGACTTGTCTTTTGAGTTTGCTTTTATTGTTTTTTTAATTGCATTTTGTTTGTGTCAAAATGGAATTTCGTGATAACTATTTCTGTCAGAATTTCCCTCTACACCTTTAGTCCCTGCAGTGGACTGATAGCAAAGACACGGTTTCCAGTAGAACACCGAGGACAGGCATTTCTGGCTGCAGTCAATATGCGAGTAGATGACTACTTTGATTAGACTGAGTAGGGACCTTCGAATCATACTCAGGGATGTTCCCCAAACCGTCACCAATAGCCCACTGTGCAACTCGAGCGCGATGTAAATAAAGTACCTACCTACATATTCTAAGATTTAGGCAAAGCATTGTATGTTGATGTCATTTTTGGGTTAAAATTATCTAATGAGTGATCTGTAGATTTAAATTTTTAGAATTCATGTCATAGAAGAATTGATTTTTAGAATTCCTGTCATAGAAGAATTGATTTTTAGAATTCATGTCATAGAAGAATTGATTTTTAGAATTCGTGTCAAGTATAGTAAGAATAGAAAACTAATGTTTGAGCGAAAAATAGACCAAAGAGCAATTAAAATCTAACGAATACTATCTGAGAAACAGACGTATAGAAAAACTTGGAAATTGTTTGGTGAAAGCTGGAGGTATTTCTAATAATCACCTTTCAGATTTTCTCAGTTTCTTCCTCCAACCTATCAGGTTTTGACGATTACAATCTCTCTTTCTGCAGTAGTAATTAGTTAGATAATGATATTGCTTTTGTATTTTCCACGCTTATGTACTAATTTTCGATCACCAATGGGGTCGGAACTTGTTTGACTTCATTTTAGTCATGGATTCCGATAGTGTATATAAAGAGCTGTCAAGAGCAGTACAAATTATACGTAAGTATATTTTTTTACTTCTCTTCCCCCTTGACAGTAAATATTAGCAAATCACAAATGCCCTCTCATGCTTACGTAAGAAAGTCGCAACAACCTCCCCCTTGCTATTGTTTTGACTTTTATTGAAGTAAACTAATTTCGGAGAAAGAA